CTATAATTCAAACTCTCTATGTTTTAATTAAACTTCCTATATTTCAAAATATATTGGCTTTCCTCTGACATTTGAATTAGCGAGGTTCTACTGTATGAAGAAGTACTCGTCAATCGTTGATTATTAAAATCAGCACACACCAGTCTTTGGTGTAGCCTATACTATTTAGAGAGTATCACTATCATTAACTTTAACAACTAAAATATACAGTATAACATCTGTAGTCTGTTTTGGTGGTATGATATGTGGTAGATTACGCTCTGGTGGACTAAATGTTTTCCTCTATCTTCGGGTCAATTTTACTGTGAGTCCTTTAATATACTGTTATAACACCATAAGAAAAGCATTTCCAATATATTTTTCTTTTAGTTTTTAATGTTAGTAAAATAACAAGATGTAAATAGAAGACACCAATGCATCCAAGTGATACTGGCCATAAAGATATTTTAAATTTTTTCAGCTATTCCATTAGGATAATGTATTTATTTGGTACAGTTCCCAATAGGCTTAATCCTTGGTACTACTGTGTGGCAAACAAACACCCAATTTGTCAAAAGATAAATATATGTTATTGTATTGTCTAAATAAAAGTTTATAGAACGCTGGAGGAGTCAGAAAGTAGGAAAAACATGTCATATTATTTGCAGACAACCTTGAATTAAATAATAAGTGGCAATATGGACATTATATTGAAAAGAGAAAATTAATGAAGGCACAGAAATTAATGTGCTAAACTTGGTTGGAAAAAAAAAACTAAAATAACCAATGGGTGTATGTTGAATAAACCTTAACAATTATTGGGTATATAACTAATGTTTTATAATTAGGTGACGATGGAAGTCTATAGTTATTTACTGTTGGTACCAAGGGTCAGGCGTATTCTATAAAATTTATAATTAGAAAATTCAAAATATGAAAAAAATTGATACTGATAGTAAGGGAATCTAAAATATAAGGGTGGTTAGCAATGATTACAACTCAACAAAATTTTAAAATTTATTTAAAAAATCACATGTTTTTCTGAAGAAGTAACATTTTAAACTATTCCTAAGGATTTAAAAATATACTTTGACTAACAACCTGAAAATAAATATATAGGCCTACCCCCAATAAAAATCACAGTTTCCAAAAATAATACAAAGTTACTATCCCTAAGCAGTCATTTATCTCACTCTCTTCACCTTTTTATCTTTTTAAATACTTTTATTAAAACAAAACTAAAACAATACTCTAATGTGTTCTTTTATATACAACAACATCATTATTAAATTAATGACTTTTCATTTGGAATGTTCGAGGTAATTAACCAAAATTTGTTTAATTTCGGCGTAAAACATAATATATATAAATTTTAACATAGAAAATTATAAGTAAAAAGAAAGATATATAAAGGGTAAGGAGGTGAATCTGCTTGGGCCCTTCAAAAGTCTGAAACAAAATAATGAGGAAATAAATAATAACCAAATAAAACCCGGGGAAAACAAAACCATTGTTGCTGAAAAACATAAAGTAACTGAAAGTAGTTAAAACTGCAACAACAATATATGTAAAATTAAAAATATAATTTTTTAAGGGTCTAGAAATTTTTACTAATTAATTACAGTAAAAAGTTTCATTAATGTGATCTAGGGTAAATGGTAAATAAATATTAAAATATTAGACTTGTTCAACAGGATATGAAATCATTGTCATACTATTGACTTTGGTTGTTATTAACTTATGCTGGTTGAACTCAAAAGTTGACACGGAGGGACGGAGGGAACAGTATTTTGTTTATTTTCTTAAAAAAAGGTTGTTTTCAAAAATATATCATAGTTAAAAGACTTTGGGGCAAATATAAGACTGGTGCTCCTAAGTGGATTTAAATAATATTGCACTTGTCCAAAACTTCAAATCCATCAAATACTCAGTGTTTTAAACCACTGACCTAACCTTCAATTCAAATATAATAAACTGAATATTATTTTTCACTTGTCATATTATTTTGTTATTCATGGCTAAATAATGAGGACAAAGAACTACAAAATTGTACAAACCTAACTTACATTTAGAGGGTCATTTGGGAAACAAGTTCCATCCAGGTAAAGAACAAATAGTGGTGGTGAGTTAGCAAAAATAACCAAAACCATTCTCGCTTCTTTCTATCAGTGTTTAATCTTTCATGAGGGAAAAAATTGGTAAAAAATAGTTAAAGCTAAGTTTTTGTTTTAAAGGTAAAGGAAAAACCCCAGCCACATGGATGCATTAGTTTCTCCGATTTAACTGATGTATGAAGACATGTACTTTTTTAAATACAATTGCCAAAATCATAAATACAATAAATCACAAATGTAGATTATAAATTCTATACATTTTGTTGTGTATTGTTTACTTTAGTTGTGGTGTTATTTCTGGTTGTTAAATATTATGTTGTTTCTGTAAATTTAAATCTATAGTTCAAAATACACTAGAACCTTGGTTATCCGTATTACATTAGCAAGTTTCTTTAATATACACGAAGGTTTAATTTGTTTTGGGAAAGTAAAATGAAAAATGAAAATAGACAACACTCCATTGTCTGTTAGAAAGACAACCAAATGGGTGTAAGCTGAAAGAAAACTTTGTTTTCCATTATAGTAAAAAGAACTGCTTTCTACCAAGACACACTGACAGACTGGGACTCTGCAATGCCAACAAAATGACAAAAATGATTCTACTCCTACTTCTCTTTAAACTATCCTTAATAGAACTCACATTATGAACAGCCTTCGTATATGTGCATCTACACCCTGATAGTGTAATGATCAATTGATTTCATTAAAATTAGAGATGTGTCCACACCAAAATTTAATGATTCTCAATACCGATACCGATACCTGAAAAATCTATTCTCAATTCTTGATACCGATACAGTTTCACACAGATAACAGTTTCAGTCTGTTTTATTTTACAAAATTTTCCATTTGTATTAATCATACCACACCCAGCCTTTGCTTTTATGTTAAGACATAATAATTTGGGATAATTGCATTTTTTTAAGTAAGGGGAAATTTAAAGCAGCAATAAAAAATTCTAACTAGCCAATTCAAATTTAAACTGGAAACATCTTCACTGTCTTCCGCTATGGCAACACAATATTGAACATATCCTGCGGTCACGGGAACACCATCATCGGCTCCTGAATATACCCCAAGATAACGGAAACATCGCCATTGCCCCCCCCCCCCCACCACCCCCCCGGGGCAAAACCCTTTGTATCTTTATCGGTCACAGAAATATAATCTTTTTCTGCGATTGCAGCAAAATCCTCAAGATCTCAATCTGTCATGGAAACATCATCGTAGTCTTCCACAATCGAGGGGGGAATATTGATCATCTCTCGAAGTCAAGGAAACATCATCTTTGTCTTCCCCGATAGCGGCAAAATCCTGAATATCTCTATCGGTCATGGAAAAATCTATCATCATCGTCAACCACCATCTCGTCAACATCATAAACGTGTCCTGCGGTCTTGGAGACATTATTATCTTCATCCGCGATCGTGGGAAATGTTCATCTCCCGCGGCTGTCTAGACAAATCATCATTGCCTCCCACGGTCATGGAAAAGTTATCGTCAAAGCTAGTCATACGTGGTGTGTTTTTAATATTTTGATGTTTATGAACCGTGACAACTTCAGAAGAAGAAGCATGATCTAAAGCGAAAGTCACAAACTTGTAAAGCCTGATGATGGCTCCATTGTGAGCAGAAACTAGTTGCTACAGTAACCATTTGGATTACCAACAATAAAGGTATTTAAAACCACGTATAGTGAGTGGCAAATGATGATTGTGAATTTGTCAGTATTTGTGTAAAGAACGTCTAGTTTCCCATAAGATTGGCATTAAACTACATTTTAATTTTGTATCTAAACCACCACATCAAGCCAGTGTCTACAATCCACGCTATTTCCTTACGCACATTTGTATTCAATGAAATACAATACTGTGTCAACCTTAATTCAAACTCACTTAATTTGAGAATTTCATTGATTCAAAATTTTGTCTTGGTTGTTAGAACTACCACAGATTAAGTGTTGAAACTATGGTAGCTCAGATATGAGGTTGGTTTATTTGAGTTATCAAAGTTTTTAACACTGATATGGTAACTAGGGGTTTAACAAAAAACCTAAAAAAAAGTGTAAATACCCCCGCCGCAGCAAACCTGCAGACTTAGCGAATTTCCATTTGCCTGATTGGATTTAAACTAAAATGTCTCCTTAAAAATATCACATTTTTATTACCTATTTAAACAGAATTAGTTTAATGAGTGCTTAGGTTTGCTGCAACAGGGAGGGTAAAAAGGTTTTTTTTATGTAAAATGTTAAAAGGTACTGTGGTTTAGTTAGAAATTAATGTATTTTCCAAATTTGATCAAGATATGTTAATAAACAAGCAAACTACAACAGTTGACTTATTCTCCATAAGAATAACATGGGAATTTTAAAATTACAATTTTTTTGAATTTTCTCCGTAACAATTAGGCGCATAATAACGCTTCAATATACTAAATTATTTGTTTTTTTAAGCTCTACAAAATGGTTTAAAAAGAAATTGTGAAATTTTGTGTTTTTAGGGTCAAAAATGGGAAAAACCTATTTTTACCCCATAAAACCCCCCATAAACCCCCGTTCCCATAGTCCGATCATGCTGGTTCGCGAACTCATTCAAGTTTATCCCGCCTTACACCTTCAAACCAAATTTTATCAAAATCGGACAAAAATTACTCAAGTTATCGTGCGGATGGATGTATATATATATATCTATATATAGATATATAAAAATTTGAACGAATGGTGTTTTTGGCCTCTGGGGACATCAAAATGAAAAAGTAAATCGGTCTCGGGCTTAGGTCTTACCATGAGACCTACGGTAATAGCTACTTCCCTATAGGGAAATTCGCTAAAAAACTGGTAACCACACACGCTCAAAACAATCTTATATCAGAACCAAACAGATTATAACGAGAGAGAGCCTACTGTACCTGGAACTGTGAAGCAGTGAGTTTCCGCTGCCGAGTGTCTGAGGCTCGGGGACAAGAGCCCTTGACCATGTTGCGTAAAGGTTGTCTCACGGAGGCTGGGAACAACCTCATGTTGCTAGGGCATTGGTCAGCCCACTCTGAGTCGTCCTGTGGTGGGTCTACAGTCTGCACAGAGTATCAACAGTAAGGAAACAGCATTAGCTATGTTTGGGTTCATTGGAAATGGAAATATGCATAAATGAGTTTGAAAAATGTTATAGAGTTTATAGTATACACTTTTGACTTGACCTATAAAAATGAATGGTCATAATTTAATCAAAATGTATAGTGGCTAGGAAGATTCAGACACGTCTAGAGATAATTTGTGTTTCCATCATTTATTTCTGTAAGGAGGTGAATATAGATCGTCTTTTATACCTAAGAGACTAAAAACTGTAGTCTCATTCAGATTTTGAACTTATTTTATGGTTGTCGATGGAAATGTAATCTCTTTTGGACCCAACACATTCAAAACTTTAAAATAAAACACAAAAAAGTGGGACAGTTTTACCTACTTTTGTGGTTAGCAAACAGTTACACAATAGTTGGAATAAACTGAATCTCATTGTGATGGTAATATCAAAAGGCCTCTTTTTCATAGGACATTCTTCATAGACTTATTAACAAAATGAGAAATGGTTAGAAGAACAAAACGAATAAATTAACCAACACTGTTGACCCAATGACAAACATAATCAATTAGGCCTTATGGATAAAGGGACAAGTTTTTAGAAGAAAAACATTACAAATAAATAAATAAAATAAATAAATGATATATTAAAATTAACAATAAATGACAGAACAAAAACAGGAAAATGATGAGTAAATGAATGGTAAAACTTACTGAAAGAAAAGACAGATTGGACTGACTCCTGGCCAACGTGAGGGGCAGCAGATGTGCTTCTGTTGTGAACAAGAAATCATCCATGTTGAGCAACAAATCATTGTCCTCGGCAAATAACAGGTACAGGTACTTGAATGTCTCTGCCAGCACAAACGAGTCCATCCTGGTGAAACAAGCAATCGGTTACAAACAAGCTAATACGCATCACCTTAGGCATTTTCATTATGTCTGTTCAGTATGTGTAGTCAATTTAAATAAGATTTTATAATTGTGTATTAAATTACATGATTGCAAGAGTCTATAACATTGCTAGTTTCTAAACGTTAACGGTAATTTAATGTTAGAAACAAGTGTTGAGTAAAAAAATAATATGAATGATTAGTTTAATATCATAAATTTAATGCATTAGGGTGGATCAGAAATTTTCATTCCTGCACACGGAAAGGACCTAATTAATTGTGGATTTTTTGGTCAGAATTATCTGGATATTAGTGGAACACAATGAGTTGTGTAAGGTCAGGAAAAATTAACAATGTTGCTTTAATGGCAAAGATGATACCACAAGAGGTGTGTAAGCCAGAGATTTTTTTATCAAGCTGAACTTTTTCTGAGCTTAGCTTTTGCTTAGGCTATAATGAATGTGATGTAATGTCATATGCTAGGCCTAAGTTGATTTGCCACTGTAATCCTCTTTATCAAAATGCATTTTCATGTTATGATGTAGAATTAAAAATAATGTAGGCTACATGTTATAAGGGTGAAAATATAGTGGAGCGTCGAGGCTAGAGTGTAGCAGAGAGCGAAGCTAAGCGGGTTTTAGATTATATATATATATACGTAGGTGCGCCAAAACATAGTGGAGCGGGGAGCGTAGTGGGTACCCGCGGTAACACGCCAGCCTCACCGCTCCAAAATTCTACCCCGATTTCTTTACCTCGAGGGTTTGGTCGAGTGTCGAGCATTAGTGGTCAAACCGACTATAAAATGTAGTTTTATTTCGTCAGATCGTGAACGCCGTCCTGTTTGAGACAAGAATATAGTTATTTGTGCAACTAGTGAGAAAAGTTAGCAATTGACTCACTCGAGAGAAATCCTTACTCACGAGCCGTAGGCGAGTGAGGAATGGTTTCTCGAGTGAGGCAATTGTACTTTGAACTCGAGTTGCACATTATACTTTTCCTACAGTTACCATAAAACAAAAACATTTGTGAAGAAACATGAAGAAACATAACCTATTTTTACACAGAAGTTAGCTTTTAATATAACATTTAACATGAAGTGACAAATACAACAGTACAACAGCTGACCAGCTGATTTACAGCCAGTGCTGCCAACGTATTTCGCGCGCATACGACGTTGCCTGCATGGTACGCGCTCACCATTTCGTGCCTTCACGTTGCAAATCTGGAGTGAGACAAAGTAATTAGAGTGAGACAATGTTAACATTGTCTCACTGATGAGCGAATTGGCCACTTTGCTTTCTCAAATCAGTGAGAGAACATGTACATTGTTAGGTAACTGTAGGAAAATTTAATTAATTACAATGCGTGAAATAATATCGTGTAATTATTCTTGTCAAAAAGGTACAGTTTGGCTGTTAAGTGACATATTTAATATACTATTTATCCTATAAACAGTTTTTTCTTTTAACTTTTTTATACAATGATTAGAAATTTCTATAAATATACTATGGCAATTTTTATTATTTTAAATATGCAGGCAGTTTTCAATGAATGGGAACTTTACTGTGTTGTAATATTTTCACCATTCATTCACTTCTTTACAAAATCAGTACATTTTACCCTCATGATAGATGAATCAGGTCGAAAGTATATTGGAAAGTACTGTAATTCAGCCTCTTGACTCTCTACCATAGCCACTCCAATAACTTATATGCTCCGCTACCATCGGGAGTAAAAAAACTCTCATCTATGCTCTCCACTTCAATCTAGCCTCACCTCTCCACTATGTTTTCACCCTACGCATGATGAAACAAAAAGCAGAGTTTCGAATAAATATCACCTTATTTTTTTTTAAGACCACATTTTCTGGTACTAGTAACGTGACTGACTAAGAATTCAAATCAAATAAATATTCTACAAAAAATAAATAACTTATTAAAACTAAATTTATGAACTGAAAAGAACAAAAGTTAAAGTGCGTGATTGAAATAATATATTTAAAAGAAGTCTATGTGCTTTTACAAATAATATCAATAATAAAAAAATATTTTAATTTTAAGATAATCATAATCACTGGGAATTCATTAACAACTCCCATGATTGCAAAGTCATTGTCATCTGCCTCAGCGGATAATTGTAAACCCGCGATCGTTGTCATTAGCTGTAGGGTTGAAGTCATGAGCATCTCTTAAAATTATGGGGACATAATCATTGTTATCACTTGTGACGTTTCCTGCGATACCACATTTCTGTTAAACACAACTGCGGCAAAATTGCAAACTTTAACTAGGCAATCTTCGCTGTCTCTTTTTGCGATTTCGATAATAAAGGCTCGGTGTTTTTGGGCTTGGTAAAAAAATCGAGCCACTCATACACCGTTGGTCACCACGTGTACGTTACCTGTCCTCGTGATGGTTTGTTCGGACGTCCTTCACTGCAGCGTAGCCACAAGGCACTCTGGCAAAGGTCTGAAGAGCTCTCAAGATGTCTCTACCTACGTAGAGGTAGTGAGGATCACGGGTGGCTCTCCACAGGAAGTACGTGCTTTCTAGGAACTCTGGCCTCAACGGATGCTGACCCCAGTGTACCTATATTGTCACCAACCACATAGTAAGTTTTTAAATAGAACAGCTATTAATGACATCACACAAATCATTCAGCTTTTTCGGTGTCTAGTAATTGAAAATATTCAGTTATTACTACATCTTTTCTCATTTATAATGAGAAAACAATTTAACACGTTCGCTACTGCAATAGTACGAAATTTTCCATTCACATGGACCAGCGACGCACATATGCGACGGCCGGTTTCTACCCATAGACTGCCGTCGCATATATGCGACGGCTAGTCACATTAAAATAGACTGCCGACGCATATTTGCGTCGGAGTTCTAATGTTATTAAAATGCTTATATCTTTGTAGTGGTCTATTTGAAGGCACTGAATTCCCTGCAGTGGTCTACAGAGATGTCTGACGCACAACTGCGTCGCTTGGTCTGTGGATATGATGATTGGTGACGTCATATAATAGTAGGAAAAACTGGTCTTTACTTTTCTGCATCACTGTATGTATGTATGCAGTATGTATGCTGCATTATCCTATGTAGCTTTTATATTTGTTCAGTTATAAACTGTTCTTGAATAATCTGTTTATTTTTTTACTTACTTTCACCTTAAAACACAAAAAATGAGCCGTCGCATATATGCGACGTTTAGTCTATTTCAAGAAAACTATGATAATTTTCACTATTGTTTTCACTGTAGACCGGGCGTCGCAAATATGCGACATTACAAAAGGTTATAAAAAATACAAAAAAACAAGAACAATTTATTTACAAACACTATTGTAGCGTATTACAATGTAAATGATCACTGTTTTACAGGTTTTCGCCCGTGGTCTGTGTGTACTGTTATCCAAGTGACAGCCGGTCTATGTGTAAGATTGAAATGTATACATCGGTCTGTGGCAATGACCGCGGCGTCGCATATATGCGACGCTCAGTAGCGAACGTGTTAACAACATTGAGTTATAATTTAGCAAACTACTAAGAGACCTTTTATTTAAAGGTTAGTACTAAAGGCAGTTGATTTACGGCTAAACAATTATTTAAAGGCTGTTAAATAGTAGTACTAAAGGGAGTAAGCAAACCAAGATAATGGACTTTTACAAAAACTCCACTGGCTTAATAACATATTCTAGTCTACATTGTCTATTACAGACCTGGAAATCAGTTGTGAATGCTTCAGGAATGAAGTTGTGCCTCTGCATCACCTGGTAGAGCATTTCATGCGTCTCAACTGCAGGCTTCAGGTCGCCTTTTAGGACCTGAACATGGTTGAAATCGTCAGTATTGGATTATTGTTAAGCAAGAAGTAGTAATTTTTAATACAATAAAACATAGGATAGCAGAACGTTTGGAGACCTGTGATTCAAATAACAGGGGTTTTTATTTAGATTTATCACTTTGCTTTAATGCAATAGTATTCATTTATGAGGGAGTAAATATAGATTCAAGGTATTTGACACCCATTACATCACTTATATCTGTAAATAAACCGCCCCAAGATGATATTTACAAGAAAAAAATGTATTTCTGAAGTGAATACCTCAAAAAGGAGGTAAGAGAAAGAAAAAATCAGATTTCAACATTAAGTTTCTAACTCGGAAAAAAGTTAAAGAAGTAATTACTTTCTTACACCTGAATTTTGTAAAAATTCATCCTTCTCAATGTGTAAAAAACGTTTAGTTAACTATGAAATAAAAATATTGTAAGTTATCCTTTTTGGGTCAATGTCTTTATAATATAAGTGGAGGTGGAGAGAAAAATTATATCAAAGTCTCGATGCATAGACAATACAATAGATGAGGATTGTTTTAATCCCATAATACTCCCCCCCCCCTGGTTAATTTTTGAACGGCTGCATATATTCAAACGAGCTTTGATACACGTTACTAGGGTAATGTAAAGTACATTTTGGTGGTATTTTGAAATTCACCCCAATCCCAAATAGGGGTTGCTGGGGATAACTTAAAATGTTTAAATGGCAACCCCTATCAAGTAGGGCATAATTTTAAAGAGTTTTAAAAAGTAAATTAATGACGCAAATCCGACTTTGATATGACGAATTTTCAAAAGTTATGGCAAGAAATTTTAGACGTTAATATAAACCCTCTATCTGGCGCTGGTCGATTTTCGACCACTAAAACGTGAGTTCTCAGTGGCGCTGGTCGATTATAGGCCAAGATGACATGGGTCGGGTTTTTCTATTATTAAAATATGAAAACAGTTTTAAAACGCAATAAATCTTATACCATTAGAAAGATGAGATTCTGAGGATTCATTTTCATGCATAAAACATTATTGAGTGAGTATTATGTAGCGAGAAACGGTAGTTTGAAAAACTAGAGAGTTCAAAATAGATTTTGGCGGTGGAAAGTTTTAGTCACCTGACTACAACAACAGCTGTTTTTGGTGATTGTCAATTAAATTGAATACAATATTAGTACATATTCTGAAACTACAATAAATTCCCTACAATTCCCTGTGATTATATAAGGTTGATTGTAAAAATTTTATTTGTTTTTAAAAATGTCATAAATATTATTTTTTTGTAAAAAAATCTTCAAGATTTTACATTCCGATGTAAATTTCTCCGACATTTTAGATTTCAACTAAATATAACTATATATTTTCAGAAAGATCTTTTTATTACCTATTTACAGTATCATTTCATTTTTTGTTGATGCATTCTATTATTTCCTACGTGAAAAAAAAATTTGCTAGTTTTTCAAAAAAGAAAACATGTATGAAGAATTTATTTTTTTATAATTTTATTGTTATGAGTATTTAAAAAACATTGATATTTCTACGTAGGGAATCATATTTCACACAAACTTTACATTTAGATAAAATGTGTAAAAAAATTATTTTGTGTATTTCTTGTGGGTTGCTTTTGAAATTCTAATTTGCATAATCCAAAAATTTGCAAATCTTTTGCTACTACGCCTAAACGCATTGCTAGGAAAAGAATATTTTAATATTATTATATTATAAATTCATCACTGAAATATAAAATATATATATGTGTGTACTTATATTCACAAATAAATGTTCTGTGGCAAAATATTTGATACCACTACAAAAGCGCCAAAATATACCCGCCACTGGTGAATAAAATGACCGCCTGATCTAGGGTAAATGGAACTTTACATTCCATTACTATTATTTTTTTAATGGCTGTAAATTTTCAAATAACCTTTCAGTACACGTGACCAGGGTGATGTCGCACACTTTTTAACATGATTTTGAATTTCATCACCTACCCCTAAATAGGAGTGGAGATGTTCTTTTTAATCAAAACCACACCAAAAAGTACTTCACATTACCCTAGTAATGTGTATAGAAGCTTGTTTGAATATATGCAGCTATTCAAAAATTAACCAGGGGTAGTATTATGGGACACCCGGTATTTATAATTTCAGACTAATTAGTAAACTAAAAACGAAGGTTTAAAAAGAATTAAAATGGCATAAGACTAAGAAAGATTTTACCTGCAGGCCAGGCCAAAATGCAAGCAGAGCGTCCATAAAGTTGCGAGAATTTGTATGTGGCCGATGCATGTGGACATCTAGCAACATGGGGCCTTGACTGATGTATTTCATCACAGCAGAGTAGTGCTACAACAAAACATGTTAGGTTAATATGGACAGCTCCGTCCAGTTTTTAAACAGAAAAAGGTTTTGACTATATTCAGGATCAATCAGGCAACCTCCTAATTCCTAGGCGAGTACTATACGCACTCGGGTAAGCCTATTCAGCTATCTAACCAAGCCAAAATAATTGGAAAACTAGCAATTGGAGTTGTATTCTGAAGCAACTATGTGACATCACTGAAGAAAAAACACAATTGTATACTGTATCACACTCTGATAGTGGCTTATTCATCTATGTTTTTTCAGAAATTAAATATCGGTTACAGCTGATTTCATATAGTACGAATTACTACTTTATCCAAAAGTCAATGCTAGGTTACATGATCATTACCTTATTGAAGCGTGACAGGTATCGGTCGTCTCCCAGCAGTATGTAGGCCTTGAGGCAGTACTCGTAGTAGGAGTCTATCCCAGCCCCCACGCCAGAGTCTCGTCTCACCCATGTCCCCGACTGTACATTCAGCACTGTTCCCATCAGATCAGAACTGCGATGTCTCAGCCGCCACAACTCGTCCATAGCTCTGTGTGCCTTGTCCTGTACATCGTACATCTATATATATAATACGCTAAGCCGATTTTTGTGAACAGAACTCCTCCCTCATTTTTGGACCGATTTTGATGATTAAAGTGTCAAAAAAATTGCCCTGATCTGTAGTTTTGCAAAGTGTTTTTTTTTGTTTTTTGATATCTTTATTAGTTTGGGCAGGATCTTCCATCAAAGTTTAGTTTTCTCCCATAAGATTAACATGGGGGAATCTAAATATTTAATTGGAAACTTTGTATCCACTAATTTGAGAGAACGGCTGGGCGTAGAAACTTGGTAGAGGTGTCCAAAGAAAGGTCTTGGTCTGTAGATGAGTTATCAAAAGAAAAACGAAGAAAATTCGCTTAGGGCTCTGCCCCAGAAGCCTTTAAAAATCCCTCCACAGATTTGTTTACATTTTGGTCATGTGGATAATACTTTTTAATAAAACAGCTGTTAGTTTTAAAATTGTATTTTAAACAACACACATTTATTGGGAGTTACTGAACTGTCCAAAAGAAGTATTTGCAATGTTATTTTCTGATTTTAAAATTGATTTTCTTCTGTATCATGTCATGTGTTCCAATATTAAGTTCCATTACGAAATCAGTGGAAAATCCTTTTATGACAATAACTCTTACAATTATTTCTTATTGAACTATCTTATATCTATTTTACATATATAATTTGATTTCTGCCTTTTCACAACTTTTCCCTATATTTAATCATATTTTTCTAGACGGGTCATCATAGGTTCATGAGATTATTGTCATACTGTACATGCTTTCAATCATTGGAAAAATCTTCGATTGTGTAATACAATACAAAATAATACAAGTGCAGACGGTGCCAAATTGAGCCGTGTCCATATAAAAAAATTAATAATGGTTTACAGCAACTGGATAAAACATTGTACAATATTTATTTAGAAATATGTGCATGATTTAGAAAGTCATTAAGCTGGAAAACTGCAATATACTGCAGACTTTTCAGAGAGGTTACTTCGATTACAGGTAACAACCAATTAACATAATTTTTTGCTTTTTGGAAATGCCACATTACTGTCATTCGTATTATTTTTTGCCAATGAAGCTGCACAACTATATAAATGAGGAGGCCCCTAAAGTTCAAGAATAAAAGCCAACTTCACTACAAGTATATTCCACTACACCTAACATTCCGTAGAGAGATTATATTGACAACTTTATGTAACTGATAAGGCTGAGACAACTAACTGACATCCCCCATGTCAAGGACAGCTTTAACAGTACCTTCACCACCAATTTCTCAAAACTGTGCTAGAGCGTTATTCATTGGCTTAGAAGTGCGATACGAACTGACGCGACGTGACGAAGGAAAAATCAAACTTACACTGTAACGGATATACCTCTCTTTGAAGTTAGAACGTGTCTTCCCAACAAACAGATTTCTTTTTCAAATAAAATCATAGATTAATCTGCATTACACCGATGAAATCACGGAAGTGTTTAAGTACAAAGATCCACCAATACGATTTTAATACTATTTAAAGGTTCTTCCAAACGAAGAGATACCAGGTAGCATACTAACAACTCCAATGACGTCCAGTATGGGAAATATTTTATTCATTGAATGATCAACCATATTTGGTAACTAACGCAATTAATATCATTATTGTTTTTACACTTATTAATCTTTAAACATTGCTAAATGCTCAAAATAATAATTTCACTCAATTTATCGCAGTTAGATGAATTAGCGTATGCCTTGAAAATAACCGTCGATTTCGACGGGTTTCACCTAGTTTGATATATTAGTGGAGAAACATGTTGTATGGAGAAAATTCTATTTTTGCTAGTACACCTCAGTTTTACTAATCCGAACCAGTTGGGATGGACCCCTGATTGGATTTGTTCGCATTAGCCAGAACACTGTGATAGTCTCACAATCATCACAATGCTGTGATAGTCTCACAACCATCACAACACTGTGTTCGTCTCCCATCACTATGTCCTTCTTACTACACGACAATTTATAAAAAGATAACCAGTGGATCCCAGTTAATGTGTGGACTCTTAGCTATAAGGCCATTGGAATCATTCCAAAGTTCTCAGTTCTAGACAAAGTTCATTAAAATTAGCAGACTCTCTCAGTCATAAAAATTCTTGTATAGTTCCCGGTTTTTTTTTCCAGATTCCCAGTCAGCTAGACACGCCGGTTAGTATTCCAGAACATTAAGCTTTGTTTTTAACACAGTAGGTAAGCTTTTATACACACAACTAAATACGCTTAAAAATAAACATTTCCTTAACTTTTTGAACATGAGCAGAATTGGGCTCAATTGCAAATGTCTATATTCTATCAAGGCATTATTATAAATAGAAATGTAATAATCTATCTATATATTAATAGGCAAGCATGTTTCTTTAAAACCTTTTTTCTTAGCTCGTGTGCATCTTAGGGAAAATCTACGCATACTGTTAGGAAGATATTTTCCTGTAGATGTGCAGAATCCCTTTATAAATTCAAATAGGCTAAAAAAAAGCCCAAAAATGAACTTGAAAACTTCAAAAAATTTACATGCGCCTTATTGGTTGTCATGATGGCGACGAAATAACAACGAAATATAGACAGAAAATCAAAACAAATTCCAATCACGTGTTTTATTTACATTGTGGGGTTTATACTGTACAGTACATAGTGTAAGAAACGGCCACGTGGCCCTAACTTTGCCTGAATAAATAAAGAATTTTTCATTTAATTTAATTTTTTTTCACTTCATTTCATTTACATATTTTTGGTCGAGTTTTCGACCACTGGACGACCTCTCGTCTTGATAAATCCCTGCTACTCAAGGCCAAGTATATAGTTTTGAAGTTTGTTACAGTTTTATCTCTTGGCTTCACAATCAAAGCTGTAAACTTCCTCCAAGCTATCTTCACTTTCACCTTGAAATTTGAAGCAAATAGAACTGAGAATATTGATGTCAAGCTAGTTGATGAACTAGCTAAGGTCATTAACTTGAATGATAAATCCACAGCAAGGTCTCTTCCCTAAGGCAATTCTAGAACGTGTGTCTTAGCTTTTTTACATTTTAAACTTTAGATTTGGTGTGTTTTTTTAAAGCTATTGGTTCAGCTTAAAATAATTAATAGCCTAACTGTTATTTCATTTGTAGTTTTATATACGACTTAGGACAACTTTATAACTTTAAAACGAAAAGAGATATCAGAACCAAATTTTGTATATCATTACTGGTTACATTTACTGTGCATTTCTTTGTACAGTGGATATCAATGATTCAAACTTCTAAAATAAAAATAATTTAGAAAAACTCTTGATTAGTATTGATCAGTATCAAATCAAAATAACATGGGTCAATTTGATTTTCATGGAACATTAATGTATGACGACTAGGGTTTAAAAAACAAGAATAATGATGAAACCCGACATTGAAGAACAAGGCACAACACTTCCCTTAGATTTGAAATAAGGCCTAATGCTGCTCACCACTTAATGCAGTCACCTCCTCCAGCCCCATTATTACCCTTCTTGTTAAGTACATGCCACTTTGCCATTGGCTGGTTGCCACTATTTGACCTCCCCACTTCACTCTTTAATAATTCCCCATCAATTCTGTTTTGTACAGTACTGTCCATCAGTTGATTGGTCACAGTGAACTCAACGTATGCAAAGCCGGCCTTGGGTAGTGCGGGGACTATTGCAAAAATTCAGAGCAAGGCCCATTAACTTCCAAAAAAGTATTTCCAACAATAATAACTAATAAAAATCTCGATGTATAATATTAGCATACCACCCCTCTTTCCTTTTATCATAACTGCCAAAAATGTACAGACTTTTTATAAATTTTGGGTATTTTGTACCAAGCGCGGGGATGTGGCTAAGGAGTAAGGACAGCTCTGATAGTATGAGATCTGTTGTCATTTTCACCCAGTAACAAAATTGACACTAAATCAGCCTGAGACACACAGCGACTATTTTCAACTTGCACACTTGTTACCTTATCACAACTGGGTTATGACGTTTGACTAAACTGTGCTTTAATATACAAAACCTCAAACTTGGCCATTAAGAGTAACAATGTACAAAAACTACCTCAAATATGGGTTCCCCGGTGAGACGAGACAAGGCTGCCATTTCCAGCACCATCGTCCCTGCACAGGCAGTGCACGTCTCCTGTGACCACTCCAGCTTCTGGGTCTTCAGCCCGTACCTCAGGTTGATCTAGTAACACGTTTCTTTGATAAGAATCCATTTTACTCATGATGTTTTACACAAGAAGCCTACATAGGCTTAGTGAAAAATATAATCAAAATTGATTGCTGAATACATGTTAATTTATTGTAGAACTAGCTACTAAGCTTAAAGTGCTAAATTAGCATTTAAATGTTTAATTGTTTTAACTAATTGATTGAGCATAGGAAATTAAAAGTTAAGCAGGTCTACTGACTTAAAAGAACTCAAAAATATTTAGGATAGGCTAGTTTCTTCAGTTATGTTCGATTTTACACATTTACAGTCAGTTTGCCTAAAGTATAAATCATAAATCATAAATCTTTATTGGTCATTAAATAACATATGTTACAATAGACCTATAACATGGAATCTTCATTAAACTTAAATATAACAAAGACAACAAGAAAATAAAGCTAAAATCATTTGAAAAACACAGAACTATATATATGAAACAAAAGTGAGGTACCTACTTAAACAAGTGTTTGAAAGACTAGGTAACAGTTGACTAGGGACTAAGTAAGAACTAGATAACAATTTTACCATTACAATTGTATTCTGCAAAAAATTCATCTAAACTGTAAAAAGGGTGGTCAGCAAGCCAAACCATCAACTTTTGTTTTAGCCGAGTACAAGGAATGTCAAGTATTTCACTTGCAAAACAATTTACTATTTTTACTGATATACTAGCAAAACTTTGCTGTACTGTTGTTAGTCTGGTGTAGGGCCTATCCAAAGCAGATCTTCCCCTTGTGTAATATGAGTGAAAATTATTTCTTGAGCTAAAGAAATGTGAATTTTGTTTTACAAAAATAACACACTCTAATATATACAAATTTACAGTTGTCAGGATACCTGTTGCTTTAAAAAGAGGTTTACAATGGTCCCTCAACCCTGAATTGGTCAACAGTCTTACAGCCTTTTTTTGAAGCTTTAAAATTATTAGAATGTGGGTGGAGTTACCCCACAGTAACAGACCATACTTTAACAGACTTTGAAAAAAAGCAAAATACGCAGATCTAACATACAAAGGAGGAACAAAATCTCTTAGACGTCTAATTAAAAATAAAACTCTTGACAATTTCTTACTTAAGTTATATAAATGGGTTGACCAGCTTAAATCACTATCCAAATCTATGCCTAATAAATTTACACTTGACGAAAAATTCTTTTCTTCCTCAGGTGTGCGACCTAACCTAAAAACAATAGTTTGAGTCTTTTCAGGATTCATAAAAAACCCATTGACACTGAACCAGTTCCTAGCTTCATTGAGGGAAAGTTTGGACAGCACCATGAGTTCACTAAAGGTACCTTGACTATTTAAGAAAGTGGAGTCATCCGCATAAATCACAGAAGTACAGGACATACATTTATCCAAATCATTAATCATTATAAGGAAAAGAACAGGGCCTAACACCGAGCCCTGGGGCACTCCGCAAAAGACCTCACTCTCATCTGACAATATACCCGCAACATCAATATAGATGTGGTCAAGACAATTTGAAAGACAATTTGTTACTACAAAAAAATAAAAGAAGTATAAAATAAGAAGAACAAAACAAACTGAAATGCAGGTGGCACTGGAGAGAAGAAGACACCTCATGATTCAGTCAGTTTTATTTAGTCAGTGACAGTGATAAGACAGTGCTGGCCAGTCTTTACAGTATTAACCAGTTTTATAACTTTTTATTCCATTTTAATAATTTGATCAACATGACTACTGACTAGTTTTGACTATTGTGAATTTTACAGTATTTTAAAGAATTTTTTGACATACCGGTACCACAATGTATTAATACATTGATGATGTGGTTGCATACAACTACCTGACGAAGTTGCAAGGAACGAAACTAGTTGTCATAACTCATAACAGCAACTGTGGCTGGATAAGATAATCCTTTCATTTTATCAATACCCAAATTTGAATGTAGAGAAATATGAGTAACAACTTTTATTTAATGGACTAAGGGTGTACATCTTTGAGGTACAATTCAGACTTACTCTCGCATGAGGTATTCCCGTGGTGGTATTGAATGCAGGCAACAGTCTGTATCCGATATCCTTGGCCAATGTGAGCAGCTGGCCACGGTACCAGCGCAGAACTCCTGCTCTCTCTTGGAAATACTCAGCAAGAACATGCCCAGACAACAAACCACTAAAACACACAGCATCGTCAGAGAATAAACTGAATAATGGACTAACTATGGTTTAGATTTTTTTGTTAGAAAATTAAGATTAAGGATACAGTCCAAAATGAAAAAAATTGGAATCACCAGGGAATGTTTCCTTTTAATCATTTTTTATATAGTCTAGTGTAATCAACTAGCTGGGCTATACTAATAAATGAAAGTTGTTGCTATTATCTCAACTTAGTGTTTTAAATACCGGTACAAAACCTTATTTAAACTTAAACTAAATCATCCCTTTCTGTATTAAAGCTTATAAGTTGTAACAACCTTTAAGTTTATAGGATTTCTAATGTTTATTAAGTACAAAAAGAAGATTTTACTGAAACTCTTCTCACTTTCAGGTCTAACTTACGTCTGAAAACCTTTTAGCAAGTTCTTTTTTGATCCTAAGTGTTCAAACCAGAGGGGATTTGCTCTAGAATACGTTATTATATGTTATTATAGAATACGTTCATGAGTATGAACAACCATAATTTTCATCAGTAGATCAGATGGTTGTATAAAAAAAATCAAATTTATAAAATAACACTTAAAATCAGTTAGTATATTGCCAAAGAAAGTAATAGTTTATTGTAATTACTTAAAAATTATTCCATGAGCTTATTAAAATAAAAAAGTAATGATGAGGATGCATACAACTAAACAGCAGCTAGTACTTAAGTAAAATTCAGTTGCTATATTTTTAGAAAGTTCAATTAAACCAATGGCTAGGACTCCTTTGACATTCAAAATAGAATATATCCTCTAAATTCATCAGTAGTATCCCTTTCTAAAATACAATCCTGGCTAGATGTTTGCTCTTATTTTTAACCTATACACATAGTGTAACTAAGACAAAGCCAATCCTCTTTTTAATTACCGTACTACTTTTGTAATACTTTTGTTTGGATTTAAAATATACTGAATAGTGAATTTTAAAAATAAACTAAGAATAGGGAGTAGAGTAGTCAACAACAACTTACCCAAGTACTCGAATGTTTGTCTCAAAGACAGACACAACAACATCTGAATCGAATGAAACATCTTCAACAATAAGTTTTACTGCATTTTCAAACTCTGATAGATCTCCTAGTACAGCCAACGTGTCGAGCGAATCAATTAGTGTAAGCGAAAAACTGAAAGATAAACATAAAAATCAATTCTCATGAATAAACAATGTGTGTACAGCTGTAACCATGTGTTGGGTGTTGATTTACTTGAGAGTCCTTGGAGCCTAGACGTTCTAAGTCATAAAATAATGAAAGAACTACAAAGACAATTTCTAATCCCACAGTATACTAGATATTTAAATTACAATCACTCTGGTGTTTGAAAAAATATATTTGGACTGGAAATAACTCTTCAGCGGCTGTTTGAAATTAACGAAATTAACATTGCTGTTATGAGGCAAATCCAAGATGGCTGTTAGCTTTCATGGACTCCCTTGGAGAACAATACAAAACTACAAAGAACATTTCTAATCTCACAGTATACTATATATTTAAATTATAATCATTTTGGTATTTGATAAAATAGTTTTGGACGATAAATAACTCTTCAGCAGCTGTTTGAGATTATCCACGATGGCCGCTAGCCTCCAAGGACTCTTAAGTGTATACCTGAATAAAATCCCTAGTATGTAAGTAAATTCTGCGACACTTACTTTCCCAATGTGTCATCAATGTCGCCCCGGCTGGCGTGACTGCCACGGTATCTGCCGGAACAGCTCAGCGGCATCAGCTCATCGGCTGGATACGCATTATCCTGAAAACAAGGCTCACTCTTACAACCAAACAAAGTTTAAATACAATACTTAATTCAATCATTACTTATGAATAAACTCTACACTCATAAGTAAACATTAAGAGTGTCTATTAAGGGAAACCCCCCAAATTAGACATTTTGGCACAGCTAGGAACATTTTACTAAGTAAAATGTAGTCAAAATGTGAAGATTAGGTAAGTGAGATGCTTTGTGTAGTGTTTTTTCTTACCTAAGACCAGCTGACGTAAATAGCTTTTGATCTCAGTGTTAAAAGAAACACATGTTCAACACTGGATCCAGCTGTTCTTTATAGGGCGTTTAATCAATGGTCCTGGCTATGAAACAGCTGGTATTACTAAGTGACAAAGTTTTACAGAATGTCACACTCCATTCTACACTCACCCTTCATTCATATTCAGCTTCAAAAATGCACCTAAGAGTGCATCTAAACGCATTGAATTGATTCTTTTGCAGGATAATGTATTAAAAGCCTGAAGCATTTCAATTATCAAGTGTATCTGAATTCAGTTTCAAACATAACCAAAAGTACAGCCTTCCCTCAGTATAAAAGCGGCAACATTCTTCTTATTGGTAGACGAGACCAGGCAGCAGATTTTAGTAAATTTCTCTTGGCTTAGCAATTATTTTAAGTGGAATTTCACAATATTCTCTTTTGTCATGCATTCTGTCATCAAAAGGATTCACATTCAAACTGGTGAAATACTAGCATTGTTGAGGTGTGGGAGTCTTATTACGTGCGGGGAGAGGGGAAAGTGGTTATGTTGACAAATAATAATAATAGTATTAGTACAGACCAACACATTAAGATTTGTCTATTGTTAATATGCCTGCCATATACAAGTTAGCTGCAGCAGCAAAAAAACTGTGTCCCCCGTTAAAGTTGTCTTTCTGGCAGTAAGCCTACTACTAATTAACTTTACTACGCTTAACACATTGTACTATTCTGCAAGATAAATTAACAATTTTAAAGGCTACTTGGGTACTTTGGATTGACTTACCATATATGCTCGATAAGCATGATAAAACATATCCCTGGCTTCGTCTCTGAAAAGATAATAAGAACTGAAATTAGACACAACAAATGCCCATTGTCTATTACAACAAAATAAATAAAGGGTATTAGCAATAATCTAACACCTACGTTCTCTCATTAGATTGTCAACAACTCTTATCATAGGTAAGCGGTGGGAGTAAATATGATTTTTTAGGGAAAAACGCAAAAAGTTGCAATAACTTTTGAACCGTATTTTTACAGCAATTAGGGTTAGCCCCAATAACATATTGGTTGGAGTTAAAAAGAATAGAGGTTAATATTCCTAGCATAATAAATTTCAATCAAAACCTGTCCTTTTTTTACAGTAGTTAATGAGTTTTTATAAGAAAATCACCATTAAAAAAATTTCAAAAAAAATCTTTAAAAATTCCTGAAGACACTATACAGACACTAGGCTACATAGTTATCCTACCGTATCTATGGTCCTATTAGTTAACTTCACCACCTTTTTTGCAAAGTAAAAAGTAACTTGTTAACATAAAACTGTTGGTCTACAGATGATTACAAAGTGTACAAGGTTGATTTTCCAATAGGCCTAGTTTGGCAGTTGCAAATTTTTACTTCTAGACAATCAAACTGATAGAAGTAAATAAACAGCATAAGTAACTTGGCAAAGGAATACCTATCATTCACCCCCATCCGTTAGCCTTCAGGACACCACCACTTTTGTGATATCTATCAGCAGACAGACGCTACCTCGGTTGCAACAGCTAAAATTTTCCTTATAGGCCTACTGCGGCAATATACAGTTATCATTAGACCTTATAACCAAATGACCCCTGTCTTGGTACCTAACTATCAATACCAAGAAGTGGCGTAGAAATGTTTAAATGCATAAAATTTTCTTGAGATCAATGGTAGGCCTACATACCATGAATTTTCATGAGGTACAGACATCGCTAGGCCTACTCATATTTCAAAGTGTATTCAGTTTAAATTTGGAAATTGTAGACATACATTTGTCAGACCTACCTTAAGTTTTCCTTTTCTTCTTTTGTCATAGACTTTGATGGACTGGTTTCTCCTGAACATATTGAATTCTCGACCACTAACAATCCTAATGCTATCACAAATAACCATTTCCACAGAACTGGATTATTTAAATAGTTCATAGTATTTATTAAAGTAAACTGTAAACGTATATAAAGATGTTCTTAATCTCTTAGCTAGTGGTTATCTCATACTGTCAGGAATGCCTCTGATTAATGTTTGTAAACAAATTGACTGAACAATTGTTTAGTAATGTAAGCTTCTTGTTTTTAACTTTCTTCATAATTCAACATGAGCTGTAGAAATTCTCTACGTTTCCTTGCCTGAAAACAGTCATTCTTATTATAGAAGGAAATATGTTACTAACCATTTCCACTGTAAAACTTATTATTTATTTAAACTGTAAAAAATTGTAAAATAGATAACAAGACCACACCACAAAAACAAGTAGGCCTAACGTAATTACAAAATCAGTAGGGCATTCATTTATTTATTCTCACGGTAAACACCATTTTTGCAACAAATAAATACAGTGTTAGCAAGTTACAGTTTGAATAGCCTATTTGAAAATACCCCCAACGCAGCAAACCTGCAGACTAAGCGAATTTCCATTTTCCTGGCTGGATTTCTACTAAAATATTCCCTTAAAATTGTCAGATCACTATACATTCTTTGTTCGAAGTTCATTGTTGGTAATGGTGAGTTAATGTTGTTCAAAGGTTTACTGCAGACATTTTCCATCATGATGGTAAAAAACAATACACAACGTTTCGGGATCTGGAATCTGATCCCGTCCTCAGGTGAAAAAAACTTAACCAACACATTACAACTACAGTGCTAGCAAAACAGGAGTGCCGATGGAGACCAGGTCAAGTCCCTTCAAACGCACGCACCCCCACAGGTCCCAATCGGCACTCCCGTTTTACTATCACTAACGGGTCATGTTGCTTCAGTCTCATTGGTGGAGTCGAAAGGTGCTATTTAGTGATGCACGATTGCGAGATGTTACAAATCGAAACGTCTCGAGACTTTTCAATAGATTTTTTGCTTAGCGAGAGGTTCTTACTGAGAGGGTTTTATCGAGATATTTGTGGCGATTGTTTCATTTCAGCACAACATGAAAATATAATTTCTCTCCTATTCGTCTAAAAGAGAACCAAGAAGTCCTTACCGAGAGTTTTAACAAGATGTTCATGGCGATTGTTTTGTTAAGTACGGCACGGCACCGCACATTAGTAATTATTAGCATCCAATTTCTATTGTATCTGGCGGGGATTGACCCCCAATGAGAGGTCTTTCTTACTTCAAAACCGAGGAAGGGAAGGTTTATGGATATATTAAGTTAGGCTACTTACTTACTTTATCTACGGAATAGTGACTTAATACCACTCAATAAAAACTATTGACGATATATTTTACAAACAAAATGTTTGTATCTAAATCGAAATGTTATTTATAATGAGACTGGAAGCTCTTGTAAATAGCCTATGATGTTAACATTATTATTACCATTATTTTAAAATAATTTTCTATTTCTGCTGTCATGATGGAGTGGCGTAAGTGTTAGGCCTAATTCAAAATAATATGTTGTAAATAATAGTCTATTATTCTACAATAAACCTATAAAAAAAGAATTAACATCCTCGTAACAGCTCTCATACAATGTAGAGACCTGTCTGTAGACAGGCGTTTTGGCTTAAGGAATGCAACAATCGAGAGAAACATCTCGATTGTACAAACCTCTCGCTAGAAGTAATCGAAACAATCGATAAGCGGAACATCTCGAGAAGGAACATTTCGATTGTTTGAACATCTCGCAATCGCACATCACTGGTGCTATTAGTGTTCCATTGTGTGAGCTGTTCACGCTACACCTTTTATGGACTGTAGTGTTTTGTGATTGGTTATTATTTGCATGTTGTATCATAACTTGACTGCTATACAGTGCATATTTTTTTACTGGAACCCTCTGTAATGTATTCCAACTTGGTTGGGCGTTTGTGTATTGTTAGTTGTAACGTGTTACCCTAGTTTTAAAGTTTTTTTCACCTGAGGACGGGATCAGATTCCAGATCCGGAAACGTCGTGTATTGTTTTTTACCATCGTGATGGAAAATGTCCGCAATAAACCTTTAAACAACTTACCTATTACTATCGATACAGAATATCTGGGTTTTGGTTAGTTGTTAATAATAGGTTAACTTATCCATATTTTGGGTTTTTTGTTCTAATCTGATGGATTCGGATATGACCGCTTAAGTTAGGCTATTTCTTAAAATGTAAAATAAAAACATTAACTAGGCCTACACAAGAGATTAGAGAAGAGATCAAACTTGTAAGGTTTGGCTACCGACTAAGTTTAGGCTAGGCATATGATAAACTTACATGTTGTCCATGAGGTTATATTGCATTAGCCTACTCTTCCTTTAATCGTTTATTCCAAAAGATAAAAAAACAAAATGGGTGTAACATCAATTAACAACCTGATTGCCCATAACCTACGCTTAACCTCTTAAATCACTTCACTTCTTGTTCCTTGGTGTGTGATTTTCTCCGCGCCTTGAAAAGTACCTAGTTCTCAATTTTTGGTGGTTTCCACGCCTTAGAAAAATCTTTTAAAGGTATTTTATCGTTTATTAGGACCGTAGCCTAGGAATGGTTTAACTTATGAAGGTTTATTAGAAGAAAAGTCTATAAAGTTCAGAATCACCCAAAATTTAGTTTGTTACTGTATTGACTGGTGGGGTTTGTTAATAGGCCTAGCCTACCTAGCCTATAGAATTTTTTTAACAGGTCTTTATTTGTATAAAACCGTTAATGAATAGCCTATGCATAAGACTAGGTCAATAAGAGAAAACTATCAAACATTCAAGGTCTTAAGTACCGAGGTACTAAAGTGGATTGAATGAAACAGCCAACAGATTTAAAGAAATGTGTTGGCCCCTCAATCATAAATACCTATTACCTACCCCTTTATAAATTTAGTTTAGTACTAATTCTCAAGATTTGGAACTAAGTTAAGATAAACTTACCTATGCATTAGAAAACTAGGCTAAATATCAAAACGTACACTACATTCACCCATCCCAAATCATTTGATTACGAATGAAAAACAGATATAAATTAACAGTGCAGTAAAAAATATCTTAATAGAAGTGTCCTCATTTGTGCGCCCAACAACCAAACTGATTTGACTTTCACTAAAAAAATTAAAATAAATATGGAAATTGTAAGTAAAGAAATGAACACTAAATACTACGATTTTGACAGACGAAAAGTGTATCTTGTCTGCCCATTGTGGTTGGAGCAGAATACAGAAGCAGAACCGAAACGAAAATCAGGGTAACCAACAGCTAAAAGCTAAATGAGTTTAACCATAGTATAGATAAAACCATAGATAAAACATACTCCCTTTAAAAACGTAATGGTTTAACACTATGTTCCCCGTGAGGTCTCATAGTACGTAATCCCACAACGCCTAATCATGAATACAGTCCGAAGTTCAAAGTTTGTCCCATCACTGCAGAAAAGATTCTTGCTACTGGTTGGAATTAACTAATTGCTATTGGTTGGGCAAGGCAACGATATTGGAAAATGAACTTGTATGAAATTGTATGACCCTCCACCAAGAAAACGTGCCACCACGATAACCCGCCACCACATATTTATCCGAGGTAGCGGGTTGTCGTACACACTCACGTCAATGAGTGTGGCGAAAAGTTGTACAAAGGCGTACAAAGATAACAAAGGCGAAAAGTTATCTTGAAGCTACATGTTTGCTGCCGTCAACCCGCCATCTCGCACGTAAGCGACAACGTGCCATCCCATCAACCCACCACCACTCTTTTGAAAGGTATTTACTCAGGGGAGGTATAGAAGAGGCTACGATGACAGCTGTGGGCTTCTTATTAGCTGAGGGAACGCCATTATCGTAACAAAACGGTCAGTGGTCATCGGCCTCGGTGGTCTAATGGTTAGCGTGCCGGGCTGATATGCTGAAGGTCCCGGGTTCAAATCCCGCTCGTAGTATTATCTTTTTGTCCAAGATTTTTTTATTATCAGCAAGTTTGGTTGGTTTGGTTCGGTTATGACAGTTTAATTTTATTATTAAGTCATTATAAAATTTTAGTAGAGCAATTTCTAGTTTTATTTAATAAACAGAATTATTTTTTCTATTAATAAACTTTTGTTGTATTATTTCATTATCAGCAAGTTTGGTTAGTTCGGTTAGGTTATGATAGTTTAATTTTATAATTAAAAAATAATAAAATTGAATTTGAGGCATTTATAATTTTATTTTATGAACAGAACTATTTTTGCGATTAGTAAACCTTCTTTGCCAAAGTACTCTCTACTACAGCGCTGTTCACGGAGGAATTTTGAACTAATGCCTCATTCGTACCTCCCCTAAGTCAGACCCCTTTTGAAAGGTGGCGGGTTGACGTGTACGCTCAATGTTCAGTACAGTCAACCCGCCACCTCGCACGTAGATGTAAATTAGAAAATTGTAAAGTAATTTGTAAATTAGTAATATTTTATTTATCAAATTATTTTTAGACACATTATTAATGATAATTTTGTTGTTGTTCGTAGTAGAAACCGGCTAATTGGATTTTTTTGCATGTTTTATTTACACTGCGGAAATATGTGGGTTTTTAAAAGAATGTTATGATGACTAACTGACGAAAAATAATTAAAAGGCTTGTAAGACTTCACTTACAGTATTATGTAGGATTTGTAACATGAAATGTAGGTAGGGCCTTGCAATCATTAGGGCATTTGCTACAGGTGCGTATCATCCGCATAACAACGTTATGCCCGTTCACAAAACTTTGGCAGTAGCCTATGAGTTTTTTCCATCGATTTTGATGGGTTTCCCCGCCATTATTTCTGGTGAATGTTTGTTTACAGGCGATTGACTTGACGTGTAGGCAAACCTCAGCTGCTGAGCTAAAAGTAGGATGGAGGGGATGTATTTCACCACCAGGCCCTGTCAAACATGGCGAGTTTACTCGCCGCGACTAATAATCGCTTTGTGACGTGTGACATAGTAAGTAGCGGCGACTAAAAATTCACTCGCTAGGACATGTTCAACTTGAGGAGCGAGTAGTCGCTAGTAGCCGACCTTGAAATCGACGCTGTCCCCACTTGCCAAGTATCTTTAAGCAAATTTCCAGGTTTTTTTCGCATGGAATTGCCTTCCTCAAAAATTTATCTTTTTCTATCAGTCAGTGGCGTCGGTGATACCATATCCAAGAACTCATCAAATTTTGGAACGGTTATCCTCATTATCTTGAAATATGATTATTTCATTTGCTAATTCTTTCATTGGTATTGATGGAGCACCCTCTCGTCTCCCTAACCACTCCCGAACACACTTGCATTTATTCTTCTTCTTGATTTTTGCACAGATCACTTACACAAATCCGCAACAGACGTCTTAATACCAAAAAGTCCCTCTTTAATACAAAAAATGACATTTTCCTCAGCACAGTACTTTCCTACACAACCAAACTGAAGTAGCCGTTACAACTCGCCATGTGTGACTGGAAGTGTTTTTCAAGCCTGCAAGTACAGCCTGTACGAGCGGCAACTAATAGTGGGGAGTAAACTCGCCATGTGTGACAGGGCAACAACATTGAATATAAAACACCAATCAGCTACAGTTGATGCCGTCATCAGCAGGTACATATTGCTCACCTTTTTTTACATTTATTTGATAAGTTATTGTGTTTGTGAATCATTACTAACTTGTATTTGAGAAAATATTGAATGTAGATTAGTCAGTTAATTTTGATAAAACAACAAATGTAGTTGAGAATAGTAAATTGTATTTGAGAAAGTACTGTATAGAATTGAGATTTAATTTCATTTCAGAATGGGTTCTTTTTATTTAAGAAGTTGGTAATTTAATTAATTATTGTACATAAAAATACATTCTGTTACTAAGCTAAAATTTTATTTTCTCATTATTAAATCACCAGTTCACAAATACAGTACAACCTTTTTCAAATAGTTTAATTCACTGATATTAAATTAATAAGATGCCTTCTCATACACATCTTGCAATTCTTAACTTCATTACTTCATCAGATGAAGTATCAGAGGGAGTATCCCTTTCTTTATGCAACATAATATAAAAACAGACTGAACATGTTCTGATCCTTTCATTTGAGTGGCGAACTGTTACAGAAAAAGATTATGCGAACAAAGAACTACCGGAAGGACAAATTACGACCTCTTTTACTACTCCAGCAGCAAGTTTACAAAAATAAAACCATCTTATATCTCATCGGTTACTGACGGAGCCCATCGAACCAATGGGTTATTGCCTTAAAAGGTGTGGAAGGCGCAAAGGGGAATTAGAGGGTAGGGTAAGAATGTACAAATAAATTCTACAAACTTATAATTAATATTCGTAACAATATTTACAATTATTATAAAGAGAAAATTAATAAATGCAAAACAGCTGTTATGAAAACATAACATTTACAACTTAAGACTATACATAGTAATCCTTACTAAATAATAAAAGGACAAATTAATAACGAACGTTGATAAGGAGCTGACAAGAATACAGATATCACCTGAAAAAAAAACATGTAGTTAGTATATACATTTTTGCTATGACATTTCTTGCATACGAAAACAAATAATTCAAAATAATGTTCCTTCAAAAACATATTAAGGTTAGGACAAAGTCCAAAACTGTGAAATATTTTACTTCATACTACCATAAGTGCAATTTTTTAGCTTAGTTAACACAATACTAACTTATACAAATTTATACAAAACAACACACAAATTATGTTCTATCCTGATTATATATAACGTAACTCATCTATTTATTTATAATTTATAGGTTTGTATAACAATATAACACATTGTGACTCGGCTTCCAACATTTTGTTTCAAGAAACTGTTTGAAATTTGTTGTATCCCGGTTTTACTGTTTGAAAGTTTTGTAAAATCGACTTGCAATTTCCTTCAGGACGGCAAATGGAACATCGCATGGTACTGGAGAAAGTGTGTTTGTACGACCATCAATGTTACTTACGAGACCCCTCTCCCTCTCTCATTCCTATACAATTATCACTAATTTTAAATGAATTGGTGTCGTTTAATTACAAAAACTGAGCTATGTGTTTAATTGAACAAAATTTGTTTACTGTTTGGATGATAAAAAAAATATTTATAAATTTAATAAGGCATACACCATCTATCACTAGGACTAACGGAAAACAATTCTCGTCTTGCCGTCAAACTCAACTGGTTCAAATAAAGACCGCCCCATGCCGCATTCTCTGTATTCTTTCTCATTACAAAGTACGTATTTGTTTTTGAAGCGTCATGAAAAGCCGCACCGCCTCCTGTGTCTTAGTGCCCTTAGTTGTTCGTGTCAACCTCAATATTTACATTGTTGGTATTTAGATTTTATTTAACATTATTGAGTCATGAAAATGTTATTGTAATCCCTAAATATAATTTACCCTTTCATAAATCTATAGTTGTCATTAGGGCAAGATTTCCACTGGTCTCAAATTTGTTTTCACAGGATTTTAACAACCTAGATATTTAATCCAGCAGCTAAGGAAACTTGTATCTTAAGTATGTCAGTACTTCAAAAGCCTAAATTAACACTACTAAAACTCACTGTATGACAGAAAATTACATTTTATTTACATAATTACCTGGTTTATGACCATAAGATCTTGATGTGACTTTTACGAGTCTGTAGTTTCCTGACATGTCCATAAACTTTCAGTGCTGGACCCAATTTAAGATTAAGACTGGTCAAAACATCCATTCTTTTCATCAGAAGCAGTGACTGACCATCTATATCCTAGACAAACAGAAAACAATATAATTTCCAGGAAATTTTTACAACTAATTTATTATTTAAATACCTATATTATATTAAGTCAACAATATTGATTCACAATTGGTTAGAAAAGATTTTTCTCACATTTTTATGATAAAAAGTATCTTAATCCACTAGAATACGTATTTAATGCTGACAGGTTTACCTCTTTGAACCTCTTACTACTTTATTCCCTAAACAAGTTTATTTATGATATTAAATATGTTCTCGCAAATAGTAGGCAAACAAATGTGTCTTGTCGTTTCAAGTTTTGTGTTAAACTTTAGGGTTACTTGAATATAATGGAACCGATTTAGATTTGAAGAAACATATTTTGTTTGTTTTGATGCGATGATAAGGCCCCGGGTACAATACAAGTAGTGAGCGGTGCCGCTTTGACATCAGGTCTCATTTACTTGCGTATAGATTTGTTGAGGGTGGCCACGATACGTCTGAGCCATGAGCTCATGGATCCAAGTTCAAACCGATTTTTGCAAAACCGCCGCTCACCGCTCAGGTGAGTCATGTTTCAGTTCAGTAGAAAATGTATGTAATTCAGAGGATCAGCTGAAAGAAAACGTGCAAGTCTCCAGCCAAACTCAAGAAGACAGAGACGAAGTTGAGTGATTCTAAAATAGAAGTATTAATAAGTGAGGTGCTGTCAAGGGAATGTTTGTGAATGACTGCGCGGAGGTTTTAAAAACACTTCAGTCACCAGGAAACTATGTGTCGAAGTGGGAGCTAACTTTTTCTTTAAAAAAGGGATTTGTCAGGTAATAAAAATAGTTGCAATTTGTCTTGCGGGTCAGCACAGTTTGCTATATTCGACTAAACTGACTCCTACAATGGGGGAAATTCAACGAGCGTTATAAATGTGCCGCAGCTTGTAACGTAGTCACCAACGCCGCTTGCGAGCCGCTCCTATCGTACCCGAGGCCTAATGTTGCAAGTGCGTAAAAACATGGGTTCTACAAGATCACAAGGTGGTTTATGTTCAAGGATTAAAATCTTTGTTTCTTATGACTAGCCTACCATGATCAAGACAAACAACATCATAAATATATTTTAGTCTCCAATAAAGCGCTGGGGGCGTGGGTTTTCAAAGTAAAGTAGATTTGTCGGTCCTTTTCCGTTAATTCACTAATACTACATTTTTTTATTGCAATTACGTTTATTCACTACTAGAATATTTTCATAATCAGCAAGTTTGGTTGGTTAGGTTAGTTTAGAATAGTTTCTTTTTATAACTGATATATTCATAGACTAGGCTAACTGTTAAAAATATCGCAATTGCAATAAAAAAGTACTAGTAGGCTAAATGAACTAACGGAAAAGAACCGATTTGTCTCAAACTGATAAATATTTGTTTCAGCATGTTGATGTAGGTTACTTGCTAACTCTCACACAAACATCTATTACAAACATTTTTTTTTATTTTGTGTGTTTATGAACAATTAACATTATGTACCAAAGAAACATTTTTAGAAAGAATTTCACTTCATTAAAATATAGCCTATATCATATCAGAGTCTTGCTGATCTGAACCTATTAGAGCAGGACCCTGTTCAGACCACCAAATTGTTCAAACTAAGCTGGAAATTCAGTAAAAAATAAAGAAACCAGTATTTATATGATTGTAAATGGCCATATTTCTCTGGCAATCATGACAATAATGTGATCAATTCCCGTGATCTTGACAACATCATCATCATTATCCATGATTGTGTTGGTTGGACATGGTCTATTGGGGATTATTCATAAAATCACTGTTGCATTTGACAGACTTTTTCTCGGTCATTAACATTCACATAGCCTATAGCTAGTATTTTGAAACACACAACTATTTTTAAAAATTAAACAGTACAAAAATGAAAAATAACAGTACTGGTAACGTTTTTTATCAAGATATAGTATGGATCAGCCGAACGTTAGGTTTGGTGGGAGTATGGGGAAAGGATTAATATTTTTTAGCTAAACATTAGGCCTACTTTGAAAAAAATCAACCTTTAAGTTGGCAAAAGTTTAAAGTACAACAATACCTGTTCCTTAAAAGCCTGTGCTATCTCAGGTTTAAAATGTGTGCAGAAATACTGATAAACTTGGTTGTTGGTCCAATGCTTGGCATCAGGGATGGAGTCATCGATGGGAATGTCTTCAAAAGGGTCGCTGAGACAGTTGGACGGTACATCTCGGAGTCTGATCTCCATGGGAGGTTGAGGGGGTGGTGGTGGAGGGGGGGCTACAGGCTCTCTTTCTCTCTTTGGATTAGGAGGAGGCTCCAGCTTCTCCTTCACTGGGGTTTCAACTGTAAAAATACATTAAATTAAAACAAAATTAAGTATTTGTGTTCAAGACCGCTTAGTAAAAATTGAGCACCAGCATCACCCCCCAGATTACGAGAGTGGTCTGTGTGGCGTGGGAGCAAAACTACTTACCTGCTGTTAATGTTTTTAAATTAATGTCTTATCAATAATATTTTGAAATTCATATAAAACAAGTTGTTGGAGAATAAAACAAATAAGAATAAATAAAAATTAGCAAGGTGCCTGATCAGGGGTGCGACTCCCAAAGAATCCACTCATCCCTTGAACTTTCTCCTGAGTTGTCCTTGAAGATTAATTTTATTTAGATAGGCCTCTACCACCCGACACTTGTCATCCAGTCCTAACTTAGAATTTAACCTCTTAACTCCACAATCCTAGCTGGGGATGTACGCGTGGTTCGCAACTATAGATGTAAGAGAAGGTTTGGTTATATTGGGCATGACACTGACCATAAATTTTTAGCCACACAATCATTAATATCGCCACCTAATTATATGACATCCAATCTAGCTTTGTGCCTTAAAAGGCAAAATGATTTTGGAAAATAAAGAGCTTTGTCGTAAAGCTTAGTATTCATGTGACAGTTCTTCATATACTATCTTGGCATTTTTTTCAGGACATTATTGACCAATGTCCCGCAGGTGAGGCACAACGGACTGACGTTCTTAACATAGTATTGTGGTGACTTGTGTTTTAGGAGAGAGGTGACTGATATGGTAGCTCGTCCAGTTTTATTCAGTCAATGTCTCAGCGTTATGGACTGTGCAAATATTGTATTATTTGTTGGCTAAATCTTCCTCAAGAATAAGGCTATACCTGACTACGCTACACTTTACCATTGGTTTTGACTGATTATGTCATAGATTATAGATTCCAATAAGACTGGTACGGTAAATCAGCAGAACTGTTATTTTTGGGCCAATACAAAGAAAAATAATGCATTAGATCATTACACAGCCCAAATGTAACAATTGGCTGTGCTGTGATCAGTCCGTACCCAACAGTTTTTCTAAGTTTTTTTCCAAGATAACATAAAAATGCATCTGTGTTGAGGAACTTAAGGTTGGTGATCCATAAACTCTCCCTATCTAAAGAGCAGTTGAATTGTATACCTATCCAACGAGTATGATTTTAACAGCACTTAACGACAGCTTGGACTTCAAGAATTTCAATGGAAATAATTTGTGCTGTTTTGTCTGGTTTTGTGTTGATTCTCTGCAGATACTTTGTAAAATGGTAACATATAAACATAGTTAATTTATATTCAAAGATTATAACAGTTTATAGTATTTTTTTGAAAAACATCTGACCTTTCTGCCTATATGTTTCTCCTTCCTCTCTGCTGCTGATGTTACCTCTGGCAGGTTTCTCTTTGATCTCCGCAGGGGGTGAGGTAGAACACTTGCAGCAGTGCCAGGGTATCTGTTTACTCCGAGCTCTCTCGGGCACTGTGGGTGTATGGCAGTCAAAGTGGTACGCATCTCTGCAGACTACGCATATGGCCAAGTTCTTCACTTTCCCCTGAGAAAAGACTCATAAATTACTATTGGTGTGAATTACTTATTGGACCTTTCCCTTAATACCCTACCACTGTTTTCAGATTAAAATTATCCCAAGAATACATGGTCATTGGTTGGATAAGGTTATATTAGGTTAGAACCAATACATAAAAGAAAACTTCAATTGTGTATTACCAAAAAATATTTGAAAAAATAACTAATAAAATTTAGCCTAAAATTTCAAAATGGAAGCAAATTTAATTTTTATAGCCTATTTTTATAACCTAAAATTACTAAAAATGGCGGATTTTATGAAAAAATGCCAAGAACCCTTTTATTTTTAACATTTAAAAATTCTTATCAAACGACATCAAGTTCAAAAATATTGAATAAACAAATACCTGAAAGATTACAAATGTTTATGTAGAATGAGACTAAGCTAGTCAGGTTGCACTTCATTTTGCATTGAGTCCTGAACATTAGGCGTGATCTACATTGGAAGCAGATTTTTCTGATTAGCCAACCCGACCAGACCAGACTCGCCTCTTACCAGACCGGAAGCCGGGTGGACGCTCCTACACTGCAGCCAGTCAGTCTCACCTCCACGCACGGTCTTTGGGTCTTTACTCACAAACACTCCACAGTCACAGTGCACACGGTAAGGAGAGTTGATAGCCAAGAATTTTTGTTGTTATTAAAGTTATTAAGCTTAACTTGTTGTTATTGAACTTTGTTGTTTAAGTTTGTTCATAATTTTGGGCTTTTAGTTAGACAACTTTACCCTAGTTTTTGTTGTCTAGTTTTTTGTTACCGATTGTTTTCGGTTTACAAAATGGACAAGAAACGTTTTGATTTAATGTTAGTGGACAGAAATTTAGGTTGTGGTAGTAATCTTTATGGTACCCCAAAGCCACTTTCTCACGCACTAATTCAATCAACTTTCCCAGTGCCGGATTTACCACTAGGCCGACTACGCTGTGGCCTAGGGCCGCAATAGATTGACGATAAACTTTGTTTCAGAATAAAAATATTTTTTTAAATTATCAATTTGCTGCGATCGCGGGTGATGCCGATGATGTAGTCGTGATTGGGGCCCACGGGAGATATTCAAGATTTTGCCAAGCTCGCGGGTGACGCTGATGATGCAGTCGTGATTGCGGCAAACGGGAGAAATTCACGATTTTGCCACGCTCGCGGGTGACGCTGATGATGTAGTCGTGATTGCGGCCCACGGGAGATATTCACGATTTTGCCATGCTCGCGGGTGACGCTGATGATGTACCTAGTCATGATTGTGGCCCACGGGAGATATTCAAGATTTTGCCACGCTCGCGGGTGACGCTGATGATATCACCGTGATTGCGGCTCACGGAAGGTTTTCACGATTTTGCCGCGGTCGTGGGTGTCAATGATGATGTCTCCGTGATTGCAGCCCACGGGGGGTGTTCACGATTTATTTTCTACAATCACCAGGAATTTCCCCCATATGTGTGGGGCCGCTCAAGTAATTTGGCCTAGGGCCGCAGGTACCCTAAATCCGGCACTGAACTTTCCTTTGTCAACCATTTAAGCACAATCTCAAAAACAAACAGACAAAATACATACCCAACCTCGGTAAATGTTGACCAACCTCGGTCAAAGTTTTGAAGCGACTAGTCTGGTCTGAGAGTGATAATTTTAAACAATTCTGCTGGTAGGAAATCTACCCTGTGAAATGAGTTACTATAGTGGAATAGAATACAGAATAGGACTGGCCTCTGAGGAGGTAGGGGATGCGACGTTGCCACTTCGTTCTTGGCTCGCAGGCCCGTTTTTGACCATGTCAGCGCCCTAGGCACAACTAACAGTAGCGCCCCTTTGCAATATATAACAGGGTGACCACCAACCGGGAAATCCGGGAACTAAACGTGAATTTTTTTGAACCAGGAATTATGTGTTAATTTTCTATTTCTACCTGGAATTGTCAATTTACAACAGTGACGTTTCCGTGACCACGGGAGACGGGAGGCGATAATATGTCTCCACAAGGCCTCGAGGGATGATCAGAACTTTGCCGCGATCGCATGAGATGATAATAATATCTAAACGACCGCGGGATATGATCATGATTTTACCGCGATCGCGCAATACGATAATGAGATCCACAGAGCCGTGAAGGATAATCAGAATATTGCCGCGATCACATGATACGATGATAATGTCTAAACGACCATGGGATATGATGATGATTTTACCACGATCGCACGAAACTATGATAATGACTAAATGACCGCGGGATATGATCATGGTCCACACAACCACGGAAAACAGTCAGAAATTTGCCACGATCGTGGAAGACGATAATGATATCCTAATAACTGCGGGATATTATTAACATTTTGCCGTAATCGCGGGAGACAATTACGATGTCTTCACGACAGCGGGAGACGGTTATATGATGTCTTCACGACTGCGGGAGACGATTGCGATGTCTACAGGATCGCGGGAGTTACAATAATGATGTCTACTCTACACGGCTGCGAGGGATGATCAGAATTTTACCGCAATCGCGTAAGACGATGATAATGTCAACTCAACCGCGGGAAAGATCAGAAATTTGCCTCATTCGTGAAAGACGATGATGATCTCCAAACAACCGCGGGAGATGATTACCATTTGCCGCAATGGTGGGAGAGGATGACAATGCCTCACGACCATGGGAGGCGATGATGTCTTCACGGCTGTGAGGGATTATCAGAATTTTATCGTGATCACGCAAGAAGATGATAATGTCCACACGACCCCGGGAAAAGATTGCAATTTTGCCTCATTCGCGGTAGACGGAGATAATCTCATCACGACCGCGGGATGTGTTCATATATTGCCGCGATCAAGGAAGACGATAATTATGTCCACACATCCGCTGGAAATAGTCAGAACTTAGACGCGATCGCGGGAGACGGACGATGATGACGTATATACAACCACGGTAAATAATTAACATCTTGCCGCAATTGTGGGAGACTGTTAAGGTGTCTTCACGGCCGCAAGGGATTATCAGTTTACCGCGATCACGTGCAAAAACGGCCACAATCTTTTTTCTTTTTTCCAATTTTTTGGCGCCCCCCAAAAAAGCCAATTGCCTCGCGCCCTAGGCACGTGCCTACCTTGCCTATTCGGTAAATCGGCCCTGCTTGGCTGGTGAGCTGACTTTCACCTAGAGCCGGGGAGCGGGCGCGGGCATCCCTCTGACTCTGTCTTCCCACTTGTAGGGTAGTTCAACACTACAAATTATTAATTTTTTGGTTGTATCGGTTAGTGTTGTCATGTTTATATCACATGGAAGATACATTCATCCCTTACATGATTATGGATAGATTATTTGCACAATTAATGACTTAAACCGCTACTAGATTTAGTTTTTGAAAAATATTATAACATACAATTAATAAATATAAAATGAAAATACATTTTATATAGGGTCACCTTTACAAGTCTCTGGAAATATGTTGCCTATAGTCAAACGTTTGTCAACCCCAATTTTTAAAACAAATCACCGTAACAATAAGAGCAAATGAATACATATGGTCCAAAAACTTTTATAGCAGTTCTAAAAATCTTGTAAATTGTTGCCCTGCTTATAGTTTGATACATAAAACAAATTAACATGGAAATGAAGAAGGTAAAATCTTCCATATTAAACATTTACAGCAATAGTTTGGTTGTGTTTAGGAAACGAAGTTGGTCAATGTTTAGGAATTACCACAAAGCTGCCTTTCTTTGAACACCTATTGTGACCCTCACTCCGTTAATCTTATTATTGCCACTCGACTGAACTTAAACTTACGGAGAACAGGTAGCTCAATAGTAACGAAGACATTTCTGTAATATTGTGATTTGACAAAAAAGTCCGTTAGTTTTATATTGAATTTTAGAAAATTGAACTAACGTTTACATACATTACGTTATGTGTTGCATTCATTAAAATAGTCATACGATATATTCACTCTTCTATAACAAAAAAAAAGCTTCTAATGTAGGTACTCTAGAAATCCTCAAAAAACATACCAGGTAAAAAGGGAAATAGATAACATAAATGGCAATTTATTGCCAAAATGACATAACTATTTTTATTAGAAAATATTATTACATTGCACTGGAAGTTGTTACATAAAAATATTTACAAAAGAAAATATTGACGTATGAAACTTAAATACAATTTTTAAGGGACAATGACATTTTTATATAGGCCTATCAAGATATTTGCATTACGTAAAGGAACACCACGTCCGACGTTACGATATCGCAAACGTTTCACGTGTACTCGTGGTCGTCCACGTCACGTACTGTTGTCCGTATTCATTGGGCGAAACACAGTTCATAGACGAATTCTTGACAAAACAGGAGGGTATACTAGAAACGCACAGGTCGGCTATCGGGCAGAGACTGAGTGCGTGGCACAACTTGGCAACAGTGGACAGTTTTCTAAAAGCTGATTGGATGCCGCATGCCCCGCCCCACCCGACTCGAACTGGTTTCGGTCCTATTCTGTATTCTATTCCACTATACCTTCAGTATTCCACAACTTTGGTTGAACACAACACCTGCTTTAACGATTTTACTAAAATTTGGAGAAATAAAGACTACATAAGGCTAAAAGAAAATTATACTAGTAAAATATTAGGGAGTTAGGGAGCATTATTAAGAATAGAATCTTACAGCTGTTAGTTGGCAGGTAACGCAGAACTTGCATTGGGAACATTGCCACGTGCCATCCCTTCCAGGCCCATCATTGCTGTTCTCTAGGCAGCTAGGATGTGCTGGAAAATTAAACTTTTTAGTAAACCATTGTATCAAAATATTCTAAATGATGCAGATAAAACTAGAGCATATTAATACTAAAATATTTGGGACAGGTAAATACACACTTAGTTACGTTTCCAGTATTCTACAGTTACTGTAGGCACTTAACTACTGTGACAAAGACAACATTTTCACAAACAAAACATTTACCTAAAATTTCAGGCATAAAGACTTAATGCATCCCAAACACAAAATACATTTAAACGTAATTACAAATGCACAGCATGTTATAGTGTTTTGTTTACATTATTCCACTACTGAAATGGGGCAAGCCAACTTTTTAAAACCAATTACTGTAATAGTTGCAGGCCAAACCGATTGGAATGACATTAAAAGGTTAAAAGTAAATTAAACCAATTCCTAGGATTCACAAAACAATTCTAACCAACCAGCAAACAATATTCTTACCTCGAGCCACACAGTCAGTACATGATATCAGTCTCTCTGGAACGCCTTTGACTCTTTGTCCGTACGAGTGGCAGAGGTAACATAGACTAGGGTTGGCTGGAGGAGTGTTGACAACAGTAGTAAAGGCAGGCTTGGCTTGTGTGCCTGTGGTAACGCTTGATTTGGGAGAGGAACTTGGGGTTGTAACAGTCTTGGTAGAGGGAGGGGTGGCTGGAGGCGTTGTGGGTGAGGGGAAACTGTTGCCAGCAGTCGTAGATTTGTTTAGAGACCCCAGAGGCCTTCCTGGCCCTCGCTTCTTGGTTACTCGAGTAGGTAGATTGTTGTCAGAAGGGTCAAATACAATTCTTGCTCTCTGGAATATAGAAATGCCATTGATAAATGTTGTCTAAATAACATAGCTACTTTTTAGTTCTTAAGACTTTGTACAGCAGAACCAATACTGAGATACTAACGGCATACAGTAGCACTTATTGAATTTTGTGACACATGTCAACTTACTTTAACACGTTCTACCGAGTCTACCGAGCATGCGACGCTGCGATCATTGCCACGGACCGAGGTATAAAATTTAACCTTAACACATAGACCGGCTGTCACTTGGTTAACAGTACGTACGCAGACCACGGGCGAAAACCTGTTAAACAGTGATACACAGCAATGGTGTTTGTAAATAATATATTCTTGTTTTTTATATTTTTGATACTTAACCTTTTGTTATGTTGCAACGCTCGGTCTACAGCGAAGACAATAGTGAATATTATCATACTTTTCTTGAAATAGCCCAAACGCCTCATATATGCGACAGTTCATTTTTGTTTGTGTTTTGAGGTGAATGTAAGTAAAAAAACAGATTATTCAAGAACAGTTTATAACTGAACAAATATAAAAGCTACATAGGATAATGCAGCATACATACTGCATACATATATACAGTGATGCAGAAAAGTAAAGACCAGTTTTTCCAACTATCATATGACGTCACCAATCATCATATCCACAGACCTAGGGACGCAGTTGTGCGTCAGACATCCCTGTAGACCACTGCAGAGATTTCAGTGCCTTCAAATAGACTGTTACAAAGATATAAGCATTTTGATAACATTGGTAAACCGATGCAAATATGCGTCGTCAGTATATTTTAGACGACGGCAGTCTATGGGTAGAAACCGGCCGTCGCATATGTGCGTCACTGGTCTATATGAATGAAAAATGTTGCACTATTCCGGTAGCGAACGTGTTAAGTTATTTGGACCTGATAGCTTAGTGTTTCACAAGTACTGACACTGAGAAGGCAAACTATGACACAAGACACCAAAATGTGAAAATGTAGATGACTTATCAACTGTGTCTTTGGCCTTCAAACAGCCATGAACCATTACTAGGCCTATAAATAGACATTTAATGATTATGGCTACAAATTGAGTTAGGCCTAAGTTAAGACTACAGTACTGGTCCTACATGCATAACTAATAACCTCAACAATAAGTCTAGATCCAATTTAAATAAGATTTTAACCTGTTCGGCAGCGAACCTTGGATGTATCAGGTAACAATTAGGTACTTAGTCCGATAAAATTGTAGGCTATTGAATAAAATAACCCATTTGATGTTTATTGAATGTAACTTAACTAGGAATACCTATTGATTTTCTGTTAGATGGGACTTTTCAAGATGACTGCCCGCCACTCTTTTACAATGCGCTGTTGCGTTTAAGGTAGCCTAAGTTTAGTTTATAATATAATGGCAAAAAAGGTCCCGTATTTATAAAATTTTCCTTTTTTTAACCTCATTTAATAAAAGATGACAAGACATTGCCGTCCTTGTAAATTTGTCTCTTTGAATATATTACCTAGGCCTGTACAACATAATGTGATGTCTGTCATAACAGTTGATATTATTAACTTTTTCACAAATTTTACCTTGCCAAACACTTGGGGGGGGGGGGTTCACAGCGGGTGCCAGGGGTGGATTTTTTTACAAAATTAGTACCGGTATCTATCTCTATTTTATTGTTAGGCCTATTTTAAATAGACAAGTTAGTCTTCAGGAATTGCGTAGGGACTAACGTAATGATTCAAGATCGATGTAGACGATGCAACCGAGAACATGTACAACCGCAATTCTTAGATGTTAAAATTTTTTGACCAAACGTGCACACATGTGATCAACTGCAAGTAGCACAGTCAAACAACCTTAAGTAGGCACAAATTTTAGCCTGCCCAGTGCAGGGAAATAGGGGAAAGGTTTGATAATGGAGGAAAATAATGCCTTTCCAACAACTTTGGTACTTCTACGTTTTCATCTCATCTGCGAAGTGCCTTCTTATGGCCTTCTGTAGGCTTACTTGACTTGTGATTGTGAAGTGAAGTGCCGCCAGGTGTTTCTCGCTCCTAAAATGTATTAAAAATGTTTATACTATAATTTATTAACTTAACTATAGGTCTATGTGTGAGTTATGCGTAAAGTTTTAATATTTGTTATTGAAACTACTAGCTATTAAGTAATTTAAGTTATTGATATGGTAAAGCATTAACAAATTAAAATTTCAAAAAGAGAATTTCACTACGGTAAGTAGCCTGAATGTTTCTAATTGGTGGTACTTGTTAGTTTTTGTCTGTAGGCTTAACATTTATTTATCGAGAAAAAAAGTTAAGCTTAGATGAATAAACTAGTGTAGGCCTAGATAAGTTTAACACTAATTTTAATTTAAACATCCAAAAGGTGCACACAAATAAGAAAACTTATCCTACTTAATAAGTAGTACAAATTATAGCATTTCAGTTGCAAGATAAGGTAACTTATGGTATGGTAGGCCTAACTTAAGTTATGTATGTATCACAAACAGAAATCGGTGTAAAATTAGAGTTCATCTAATGCTTACAATGTGTAAAATATGCAAAAGCCCCTAAACTTGGCAGGTCTGGCACCCCATTTCCAAGACTCTGGACAGGCCTATGCTTCCTTGTTTGGTACAGTAGAACCTCAATAGTTGACACTTAGTGGACTTTAGGGGTGTCGAATTATCGAAATGTCGAACTTGGACTAAGTATATGGAATTTTATATTAATTAGACTACAAAATGGAAGTTATATGGAGAAATTCTGACAATTATATAAAGTCATAAAGCTAAACAGTTATATGAATAATTTGTTGATTTAAATAATAATAAAAGTTCAAAGAAAGCTCATAAAACAAAATACTTTAGGTATAATCTTAAATTGTTTCTCTCTCTGTTTTTTTACTCAGCCTGTGTCGAATTATCAGGTGCGTCTAAGTATCGAGTGTCGAACAATTGAAGGTTTACTGTAAATTAAACAAAAAAACCGCACAGTGTGATAAAGACTTAAATGTTTAAGTTATGGCTTAAAATTAATATGTAAAGTTATTCATATTCAATAACTTACATAGGCCTACCTCAAAATACTGTGTGAAAAACTATATCCGATACGATTTATAATTATATCAGGCCCAGCGCACACGGTGTGACTGTTTTACAACAACTGTTGCAAACCAGTTGCGTCTGGAACCAGTTTGCAACTGAAACAAAACTTCTGTCCGCACACGGTGTGACTGTTTTACAACTGCAGTTGCGTCTATTAGCAATCAGTGGAGTGCAAATTTAGTGCAGTTACGATGTTTTAAGGCCTTAAGTGCGTTTACTACGTCGGACTCAGACGAAGAAGACGTTATTAGCTATTATCAATACCAAAGACAGCGAAGGGTACTGAGAGAGCATTGGGTTCACCCTTATTTGAGCAAGAATGTTAGTACTAGGCTGTTTGTAGCAGCTAGAGCTAGTTGGATAGGAAATTATAAACACTAATAACACTATACGGCCGTCAAAATACCACCAAAATACCACCAAACACCACAAAACACCCCGTGGTCTCGTGCAACTGAAGTCTGCAGCGCAACTGCAACGTCGGGCCCACGGTTGCATGCAACTGGTTTTAAATGTTTTTTGAAATCGCATACAACCAGTTGCGTGGTGTGCGCTTCCCCACTGCAATACATTGCCGAGGTCACAAAACCGTTGCACTCGCAACTAGTTTGCAACGAAAGTTGTAAAACAGTCACACCGTGTGCGCTGGGCCTCAGTCTTATAGGCTATTTCATCCGATAAAGCATTGTCGGCTCTCTGCGGAAATGGACCCCATGTTCCCTGGCACACCCCTCTGAATGCTGAATGTATGGTCTAGGACCACCTGGTAATGACTCAGAGGTGTTGAGTTTACAGAACACTAGACCTCAATGGCCGTACACCCCCAAGGCCATGAGCTGTAAGTTAAGTTAGTTTACCTAACTAGGGTGCAAGAAAGGTCTAGTGAGGGACTCTAGACTTTGCCGAGACTTATGGTGCTGAAGATTTGTCTGCTAGAGCTGATATGCTGACATTGGTTTAGAGAATCAAAATTGCTATTAAATTACCATAATAATAAGATTAGTATTGTTCAATGTTATATACTCGAATCTTAAAATGGTAGGTTATGAGGACTTGTTAGCTAGCTTTAACTAAGTTAGAAAATATTTTGCTCACTTAAATTATAAATAATATTAATAGACTGCAATGACAACCGTAACTATACGACCAACATCACACATTATTGCAAACATTAAAATTAAAATTCACAATTTTGAATAAGAATGTGAAACCAACATGTTTAGATTTATTATTTTATTTTTACCTTTTGACGGCCTCCAACTCTAAATCCCACATTTGCTGATTCACTTGAATTAGACTGATCTTCTGGTTTCATCTTATCACTATCATTCGTATCGTTGGAATTGTCGTTTTGTTTAGATAATATTTTAATTTTCTTTTGACGCGATGCCTGTCTTGACGCCAGATTGGGTTTCGTGTGCCTCGCAGTGCTACCAACGCTAGAAGCGGACGGCCGATTCATTGTTGAACCAGAATTCATTGACGAGTGCTCACCCAAGGAATAATTTCCGTTTTCTAATTTGACTAAGGTTCCTATTTCAACTTCTCTTTTTAAAATTGTTTCCAAATTTTTCTTTGAAAATCGCTTGCCATCCTTTTGAGTCATATGTTGTTCCAATTCGAATTCAGGCACGCCTATGTCCAAGTAATCCGGTTCCAATACTATTAGTTCTGCGACAGCGCTACTAATTATGCTACTCGTATCAATTTCCTTTTTGTACTTGTATGACGGCAACATAGCCCATTTTGCGGCATTCCGATAACTCGTATTACCTTTATAGTCGACTTTTATCACAATTTCCGCATCAATAAGTTTCTGAAGGTCCAATTTTGTTTCTATACAGTTAACGGCGAAGCGACGAAACATAAAACTGCATATTCTATTTACGTCGGGCCGCGCTTTCCTTTTGCGCAACTGGTCTATCGCTTCTAAAATGCGATCCCGATGACGGATCTCACTCATTACCAAGAGTTAAAACACTAATGATCGCAACTAACTGCCGAGAAAGCGAATAAAGTTTACCTAGCCGGCACCGCAAACTTTCCGCGCAACCGACACTCACATCTCATCACTCGTCCGACTAGGCGCAAACTGACTCGGTAAACTGGCTGTTTTACGTCCCGCGCATGCTCAGAAGGGTCTGTCGATATCAGACAACGTGTGATAGCTAGCGCGCTCCACCGGCCAAACTGCTAACTGCCGTATTTTGGGCAACATGTGCGATGTACCCAACCATTATTTTAATCAATTATTCACTCACAAATTATACAAAGCTTTCAAGCTTTAGAATAGAGCATGACAACATTAGTTACCCTCACCACACTTTAAAAACAAGTTTAACTACGTTCTAGCCGCAGGTAACCACTAATTAAAATGTACCTTTGTAAAATGCTTCACAGTGAGCTATAAATAGCTTATGTCTGGGCGACGAGCTTTCATTCACCTAGAATTGTCCAAAGTGTGTTTGTGTTTAAAGGTTGTTTTAGGCTTACGAAATATTTAAGAAGCTGAAAAGTAATTGAAAACGTATCTTACTTTTGGTCAATAGCAACACAATTTTCCTAAAATGTGACGCAGAATTGAAACGCATTTGTAAGTGTAAATTTTTATAACCGGTGAAGAATATTGGACAATTTTATTTACCGTACTGTACTGTATATTCATTTCAGATTTCGCGACACAACTATGATAAATGCGAGGATTTATAATTCTTTCGCTTTTATATTCACTTCAACTAGAAAATTATCATCTAAACTCTTGGATTCATTTATAAAATATAAACCACCCATGAACTGAAATACTAAAAAAATAATATTGAAACCAAAATGGTCAACTAACTTCTAATTCAAACTTACGAAGAAGTAGAAATCAAAAGTTACGGTAAAAGTTCTGCGAGAAAGGTCTGATTTTCAAATCGAAGTTTTAACACCAATTACGAAGAACAAACAATAAAGTACTGTAGTGCCATAGGCCTTTTGTAAGTACGAATGTGGGAGGGGATTCGGTGGAGAGGCGCGGGAGGGAAACCAGCATCACCTGGCCCTACTCGCTTATAGGGAGAAGCGACGCAGAAAAGTGGGGACTTGAGCATCAGATCTGGAAAATACGCTGAAGACAACACAAATTCCAACTTTACACGCTCTCTATAAAATAAAAACTTTAACGACGTAAAACACACACACATCGTTTTAATGGTTAAGAATAAACTCAAGTATTTGATATTGCAGGCTAAGTGAATACAGTGAAGTCCAGAGCAAAATCAGCTGCTTTTAAAGGTTCTAAACTGGACCCAGAAACATAGCTGTCTTTAGTAATTTGGTTTGTAGTAAATTATCCTGGATACAGAACTAGCTGATTCTAGTCACTAGTCAATAAAACGCTTTAAAACAATCACCTCATCCATTAAAGAAATTAATAAATGGTTTAGTTCCATTATAAAGTGTAAATTTTCCCAACTGCTGGCGTCAAAAACTAACCACTTCAGCAAGTTTTTAGGTACCGTTAAGTGAAACGTGAAAAAATATCTTACGGTCTAAAAATAAACATGAAATCATTCACCTTAAAGTCATTTTCGCCTTAAAATACTAACTCTGGTGCGTGGATGTCGTAAAAGTCCACAAAGTCCAAAAGTTGATAAAATTAGTTCAATATGATTAAATTCCTTGTAGATAACGTTTTGGACGTTCATAAACTACAAATACAAAACAAGTTTCCAGATCCTGGTTTGCAGGCACTGTTTTTATTACAATACTTAATTGATGCGGACAGTAAAATAACGATTCTCCAGAACGATGAATTAATCACCTAGGCTATTTATATAGGAACATTTGTATGATCACAAAATCAAACTATGTAGTTTACATCACGTCAATTTCGCATTGAAATACTTTTAATATTTGAAAAATAGTAATTTCTTTTGAAAGAGCTCGAAAAACGTGATATAATATTTTCCATTGGTCAATTTTACAAACTCTACTATTTTCACCTGCGTTTTATCACATATTAGACCTACATTTAATCGGCGTACCATGCACTGATCTGCAAAAATCGTCCAAGTTGTTGATTTTTGTAAGGAATAATAGTTGTGCACAACTTATTCAACGCTATGTTTAAGCATTGACTATGGTATATAGTCAATGGTTTAAGCTAACCATAATAGTCTACCGAAGTAAGTTTGCTGTCTGTAAACACGAATGGCCAAGTTGTCAGCTTTAAGTTGTAAGTTTTGAGCGCATGACGTCCAAAGTTACAGATTATCGGGTACTCGCAAGTCGCAATGTAACAAGCCGCCATGTTTAGTCACTCTCAACCATGACTCATTACTCAAGAGGTTTACGAGTTAACTGTCGAATCCTCACAGACGATATTTCTATTACATTGTTTCGCAGATTTATAAAATTTGTTTACCAGTGACCGCTTTAGATTTTTAAGACCGATTGTTGATAATTAAACGTGTGTAGCAAAGTTCGATACAGTTTACATAGCTATTCCGTGCTTAAGTTATCATAATAATTACTATTATGGTAGGCTTCCATATCTGTTGGCACAAAAAACCGAGTAAAATATCAATTGTTCGATTGTTTCATTCGATATATCGATCTAGGCCTATATTTTCATTCGGATGTTTGTACTACAGTACTCTTAACGAGTGACTAACCCTTACCTTAGAATCGAACGTCATCCCTGCGTAAAGCTGCGTTGTCCAAGGCGCGTCTGTTGCGTCTGACGCAGAGCGATGATCGCCGAGCGATGATCGCTGAGCGTCGATCGCTTGGAGGCCCGTTGTCCAAGAACGCGTCTATTCAGTTCAACAGTTGGTTTCTGACTGTGTAAAAATTTATTTTGCTCTCACTATTAGCGTTAAGAGCCAAGTGTTGAAGATCCTATTCATCGAAGAGATAGAAAACGAGGAAATTCTGGACCTTTAGTGAACCTCGATTGTGTACCCACAGTGTTTTCAAAAAGAGAAGTGAGGAAGGATATTTTAGAATACCTATCAAAAACCACTTTAATGTAGACAAGAGTGCATTAATTGATTTTTTTTACTTTTAATGGCAACAGTTTAAGTTCCGTTAAATCCTTTAAAGTTTAAGTTGTAATAATTTAATTTAACACTAATTTATTATTATTTTGAAATTTTTCTTTACTTAAATACAGATATCTCCTATTCTAAATAACTCCCAATACGGTATGTAATCCAAAGCTAAAATAAAAGTCAATACTTTGGTGAATTATTTTAGACTATAACTTTAATTTAATTTTGATTTGATTTTGTGTTTTTGTTCGTAGCGGGTCTCTAGCTCGTCTGATTTCAATTATCAATAACTCAAATGGAAGCCCTTACATTACTGAATATTTTAAGGTTGAAACGAACTGCAAGCGTTAATAAGAACTGGAGATATTTAAAAAATGATAAAAGTACGAAACGTCTATAAGAAATGTATGGGGAAGAGTTTTCGTTTGAATTTCTTTAAAACGAAAAATAAATAAAAACGGATTCCCGCATTGAAATTAGCATGAAAATCTAGTTTTTTAAATTATGTGTCACAAAACTATCATTACATAAAAACAATATGTATATCCAATATGGCGGATCCAAGATGGTGGCCATAAACGTGTTTCCTATCGAAATGAAGTACTAACCACCCAATAAATACTGGAGGTGATCTTAAGTCAATATCTCGAAAATGTGCATAAAAGATGCATGTGGAATCATTTTTTATTATTTTTCCAATGTTGGGAAAAGCCACCATTTTTTATAATGATTTTAGGGGGTTTCTCATGGACCGATTTTTAGCAACCTTTAGTATATCAATCAGCAGACTCAACACTACAAAATAAAACCCTAAAACATTATCTTGCAATCTTTTTAGGTCATATTCTATATTTCTTTGACTATAGCCATTACATTAAGATACTGTATATTATGGAGTATACGGGAGAACACAGAAACAACAATGCAATAGACGCAATAGACGCTGGCCGTCAGCGATACCGTCTGCTCCCGGAGCAGTGCCCCGCGTCAGACGCTCAGCGTCTCAAGCGTCAGGCGCTAGAGACGCTCCCTTGGACAACGGGTCCATTGAAATCAATGCTTAGCAGTCACTGAGCGTCCATCGCTAGCGTCTATTACTCAGCGTCAGACGCAACAGACGCGTTCTTGGACAACGGGCCTTAAGATATTAAAGTTTTCTCTCGAGTGCACCACCACTTACTTAAAAACTGTATATGCCCCTAGCTAATAACCAAATAATTGTAATTTATACAATATATATTTTAAATGTTGTAATGTCCCATTTCATGATGAAACATATTGAGTTATGGAAAACTGTCGTGCCTCCTCTTAAGTCCAACTTTTGAGGAACACTTCCAACAAACGCAAACCAACTAATGTGTATCAAAACGCTACGAATCTGTCGATTAAGATTCCACAACATTTTCAGTTATACATAAAGAGGGTTTTAAAATAAATAACCAATACTGTAATTAGAAAAGTAAATATTTAAAAATGATTACGGATTCGATTTGAAAGATTTGAAACATTATAAACAAGAGCTTCATCAACTGTAAATTTGAAGTTGCGTATGCATTTTTCACACATTCCTTTTGTATGTTAGTTCGTTCATTTACACACGAGTGTTGTTCTTTGGTGGGATGAAAGAAAGAGTTTGTAAAAAATAATTATATTTTGTTTATCGCATTTTGGACGTAATTTTGATCGAAAATCAAAGACAAAATGTCTTCTGTAATCACATTTGTCGAAGGGATAAAACGTATAGAAACTAGTTTAAAAAACTTATGAAGGCTTGTAGATTACAAACAAGTACTTGAGTTCTGGTATTATCTCCCTACTACTTTAAATTAAGTCATTTTTTCCGCATTCTCTTATACAGTATTTGTAGGTTTGGTTTCAAGATAAGTACGAGAACTATCTATCATTTGTAGCCAGGGAATACAGTAGCCTACTACTTAAAAGTGGTCACTTACAACTGTTCATTTCCCTGTGAGAGGTATCCACACCAGATTCGCAATGACGTTAGTGCAATTCCTGGAAAAGTCGTAGTCGTAGTGCT